GTGAGAGGCCCAGAACAAGCAGCCTATATTCCCCCCTCATTAAGATCATTCAACGATATGATGGGGGTTTGCCCAGCCGTCCTGTCAAGACAAGCGATGCCTGGCAATGGCTTAATCCTGCCAGCATGAGCAGACAAGCATCTGCACCCGAGCTGAATGGCAGGTTGCGACTTTTCTCTCAGTCTCGACGCTCTCGCACCATGCATCATCCTAGGCAGAGCGTGCTGCTGCCATCTGCCACCACTGACGGCTGGAAAGTTTCAGTTCCTTGAACGCAAACATGCCGTCTGGCCACTGAACTTTCCTTCTTCTTCTTCTTCTTCTTCTTCTTCCCAGAGCCTATGATCCGTGCTTGCGTCGCAGGAACACCCATCACCCCTTTTGCATGCACGTAATCGGGGGACGAAATGTCACCCAAGGGCCGCAGACGGCTTTACTTAGTCAGGAGGCGGGCTCGCGGAGAAAGCACGACTTGCAAGCACCGAAATTCGGCTTCGAGGGAATCAGAGAGTCTCGCACTATCATCAACGTCTACTCATGAGATGGATTGAGATCGGTAATAGACAGGTATCTTTGGCGAATAACACTGGCTTAAGGGAGCAAGAGTGATAGGGCACCTCGTCGTTTGAAGCCAGAGAATAGACTGAGGTAAGTAGGGCAGAGGACTTATTGATATGCTGACTGTGCAGAGGGGCAACGCCTCCATCTAGCAGGCGAGGATTTCATGATTCCCCTAGCTCGTCCTTATCAAACTACAAGAGTACCAAAATAAGTTATCAGATGCTGAGATGTGCTGCCCTCGACAGACTATAACGGGACTGTCTTGGTCTATTTGGGCTGAGCCAGCCTCAATAAGCTGTAAGCAACCCCGCTGAACCGTCATCCCACCCCTCCTTTGGTGGCGATTCTAAGCCAAGCTCGTAATTGTCCCGTCCTAGGCATATCGAAGTGGTGTCGTGCCTCTCGATGTACACAGGCTGCGTGGTCGATAAGATTTCATTCAAGGCCGTTGGTTTAGCTGCCGCTTGTCGTCATGGTGGTGCAGTATTACTCCGTACTCGTCCAGAAGACAACCTAATTGCTTCTAATTATTCCAGCCTGTCTTTTGTGGTGGTGTAAGTCCTTTGGAAGCGATGCCCAACGCACACGAACGTCTCGCCTCACATACATGGCCATGTCTTAACACACTTTTGTCGTAATAAGTTTGACCACTGCAGCTGGATTGGAATTACCACGGGGGTTTTCGTTCACGTGCTTTCTCAATTTCCTCTGCCTTTGAAACGGACGATTTGCCCACCTGGCTACAAGCAACTTCTACGCTCGTGGATTCCCCCCTCTTTGGATATGCATCAAGACACAAAGGTTTCCGCAGGCTATGCATATAAAACTACCAGCCGGGTAAGGCAATGATATCGCCCAGTTTTCCTCCCATTTCCGCGGTTCTGAACATACCGGGGAATTGGCGACCGTGGGTGCCAAGGACGACTTTGTGGCTGCGTGAAACACTTTCAACGTGCGATCTGATACCGGGTTCTCTATCCCATATTACTCTCGTCCGGGGGGGTTGGACGGAGATTTCCCCCCTCCTCCTGAGTTATTCCCCTTTTGACGGATGCGATTGCGATAAATATGTCAGGGCGGAACGACGGTATCATAGATGAGGTAGACAGAATGGCTGCTTCGGCAAGACTTGCCTGTATCGCATAGCGCGGGCGACGAGAATCGTCCGCGATACGTCCCCCTGCCGTCCATTTTTGCTTTGAACCTCCTATGCTTAATGCGAATTCGCTTGACAATGTTTTGATATCCCAGTTTTGGTATGCTAGTAACGAAAAATGCAAGAGAGAGAGAGACAGAGATATCTAGATACCCCTGTTGAACACAACGAGACCGCCCTCGCCCCCACGTCCGTGGAACTCGGGCTCAAGCTTATCTGCGCTGATGCTCTGTCGCTGGGGGAATACGGCGAGGGCGAGCGGGAGAACGGCGTAGCTCGTCACGAGGATGAGGCCGAGGTTGACGGGCACGGTAAGGCGGGGCCGCTGCTTCAGCCACTGCTGGGCTTGCAGGCGGACGAGAACGAGAGGGGGGATGACCATGATGGGAGTCGAGTTGAAGACGCGGCTGCAGGCTGTTTCGCCGACGGCGATTTGGGCTGCCTTTTTGCTGCGGCCTAGGGACTGGGGCTGCTGGCTGGTACCTTCAACATCTGCCTTGGTTTCCGTGGTCTCTGCCTTCTTCTCCGCGACGACGGGGAAGACGTCGATGCCCTTGCGCATCTCCTCGCCGCGCATGAGGAGGACGTTGAGGAAGCCGGCCGAGGCGACGGCGGCGAAGGGGACGAGGCGGGTGAGCGTCGTGCGGGTCGCGGGCGTGAGGTTCTTGAGACGGGGCACGAGCTTATTGAGGCCGACGGCAACGCCGCAGGAGACGGAGACGGCCATTGCGTAGGACTCGCCGAGCTGGCGCCAGGATAGCGGGGATGACTTGTTTGCGTTTGCCGAGTTGATGGCTACGTTGAGGGACTGGTTTACGACTTGCCATGCGATTGTGCCTGCTGTCTGTTTGTGGTTGCGACTCTCGTTAGGAATGCGATTTCCCTCTGGAAGTGTTGAAGTTGTGCGAGAGGTTCAACTCACCCCGAGGCCGGGCTGGAGCATGCCAGCTGTGACGACCAAGTTGGTCAGAACGAAGGCGGACATGCGGAAGGGAAGGAAGACGGGTTCGGCGGTATCTACACGGGGTGAGGCGCGCGAGTGCGCCGCGTGTTAGTCACCGGGTACCGGGAGAGAGGCAAACAAGCAACGAGCCCTTGTCGCAAGAGGCAGTGTGTTTTGTTTTTATGGGCTCGTCGCACCTGGGTGGAGGGTCGAGTCGACGACCTTTTTGGCCTGCCAGAGCTCGGGGGTCATTGTCGGGATCTTGCCCTGCTTGTAGTCGGTGAGGAGGGACTTTGCTTGCTCGAGACCTGTGCTGCCGACGAGGAGGGTGCTGTTTGGGGAGACATGTTAGTATCTGTTCTCTTGGGTCCGTGGTACGAGTTCTGGTAAGGGTAGAGGTAAGAGGTAAGAGGAGGCTGGCGTGGTGAGTGAGATTGAGGTAGACGCGCGCAAAGGAGTCATGATCGTGGCCTTGCGATGCGACGCGCGAAACTGGGGGGGGGTTTGGACGTACCTTGGGTCAGTGAGGCCCAGGTTGTGCCGTACGCGGCCCATGTATGTGCTGAGATCATACTGCGAGGCGGGCAGCTCGCGGCTGCCGGGGAGAGAGGCCGACATTTGTGAGGCTAGGTTCGGAGCGTGTTTTGGTGGTGAAGTGATTTTGCGAAACAACGAGGGTTTGGTAGAAGGATCGTCGCAAAGCTTTCTTTGTCTCTCTCCCGCAATTGAGAGCTATCCTCGAGGGTAGATATGCCCAATTATGACAAGTGAGGGGTAAAGTCGAATGCAATGCAATGCCACGCGACCAAAGAAGGCGGGAGCAGTGCCGGCGAACGCTGGTGGTACGGCGATTTTGGGGGAGGGGGGAAAGGTGATTGCGGTGTGAGTGAGGGTTCTCGTGGGATTTGGATTGGGTTTGGTGGTTTTTCGACTGAAGGAACGGAAAGGATGGGTTATCGTCGGGTGAGCTCCCGAGATCGGTGGATTTGGGGGAAGAGAGACCCCCAGAGGAGGTTATCCGGACGAGGTGATTGGGCGGCGGAGCTTGGACCCTGAAGTTGTTGCAGCTGGCGGCGGGTGGACGCGGGCCCCCCCCAGGTTGTCTGTCACAGTAGGGCGTAGGGCGTGACAACGGCAGACGGACGGGTTGTGACGGTGCAGCGATATTGCTGATAGTGCAGCGGTGACGGTGCAACAGATGGGCAGAATTTAGAACGGACGACGGAAAGATAGAGATGACGATATTGAAAGGATTATTGGTGAAGTGTAGAGAACCGAGTACTCAGTTCAGAAGCAGTAGAGTAGCCCCCCCCCCCCCAAAAAAGATAATCCAAGGCATGGTGAGTCGTGTAAAAAGCAAAAAGATAGAACGACCTACGTAGGGATCGAACCTACAATCTTCACAGAGAGACTAAGGAGCCGAAATGTGACGCGATGCCATTTCGCCAGCAGGCCTGGTTGGGAAAAGAGAAAATTTGACCGCTTATGTAGGGCGCACTAAGGGTGGTCAGTGCGTGATCGCTGGATGGCGGGGAAGCTGCCACTGCGGGGAAGTGGCGGGCATCCCGTGAGTGCCTTCGCCGTCCCGTCTTCGGCTTGAAGCGGCCGGGGGGCGTGCCGATGCGAGGTCGGGACGGTTTGGCGTGCGGGGAGATCTGGAGGGTCATGTTGGTCTCTCTACGTTTTCTGCTTTGGAGAAGCTCCATATGCGAGCTCTCAAGGGGGCTTATAATGTTGACTCCTTTCGTGAGACGTGTGTATCTTGTCTCGTTTCTTGAGAAGCACTTCCCACGTCCCAATCGTATTTTGTTAGTTGCCAGAGAAGATAGTAAGTTTGGCGTCATCAAGAATGAAGGGACGCATCTGTCAAGATATCGAGAAATGCTATTTGGAAACATTGAGGTCCAATGCGTTTACTAAGAACTCCTTCAACTGTGATAGCGACGAAATTCGCATAAGACAAAAGGGGTCTAATAGGCTACAGGCGATTAATTGCCTCAAAAAAAAACAAGCAGGAAACTGAAATGGAATATCAAAAAATATAGACCGGGCAAGAACATCCACAACTACTCGAGGCTTTGTAATTCCGGACGCTGAGCGTTCTTCCGCTTACACATTGGCTTGGGCGATGTGGTTCGTTTTCCACTCTGGGCAGCTCTTACGTGAAATATGAGTAATTGAACCTGAACTCCCTATTATCATCGCGGACTCCGAGCTTCCTCATATGTTCCCCCAAAGTCAAAGATCGAGGTCAAGGAGGGAATTTCTTGCCTTTCCAAATATTGATGATTACTAGTTAATTATCTTGCTATTGCATATCGCATGATCATCACAGGCACCTCATCGCAAAGTGTTCCTAACCTGACGACACTTGCCTCCCTGCTCCCCAATAATGTCCACAGCCTGGAGCGCCATGGCGTACATGGCCACCTGTAAGTTCGCTGAGATGGAGACCGGAAAGACGGAAGAGTCAGCGACGAAAAGACCGTCAACGCCCTTGACGCTGAGATCGGTGTTGACAACCTTACCCATGGCGGCCGTTCCGCTAGGATGAAAGCATGATCTGTGTCCAAATATCATTCCAGTCTGCCTAGCTAATGAGGGTAGAAACTGCCGTGGGAACGGATTTCGGTTACTTACCCTGCAACCTGACGGGCGCGCGCAGCAAAAGCCTCATCTGGGGAATCAACCGTCAGAGGCGTGTCAGCCGTGAGCTCACCGTCAAGAATCTCGCGGCCTACGGGCGTCATATCGCTTCCCAGAAGCCTAGTATCGAACTTGAGAGCCTCCTGCACGGCGTATCTGTCCACTGCCGTGCTGAGGTAATTTGGGTCGATGACGGGCGGATCGCTGACGTTGGCCGACGAGATGCCCACCGAGCCCCGCGAAGTGTCGATCAGGACGATGGAAAGCATCAGAACGGCCGAGCCGTCCGTTGAGGCGCCGTTGTACTGCAACGTGTGTGAAACGTGTGCGCGGTCCTGGCGGAGGAGCGGGTGCTCCGGGCCCGGTGCTACGCCTTCGTCTTCGGCGATGGCTGCCGCGAGGCCATCCTTGGGCAGGGTGACGGTGGCTAGGAAGTCGATCTTGTTGCCGAGGCCATATTGGGGTTCTTTGAATAGCGGGTTGTCCGACTCGAAGGCCCAGCCCTCGGAGGGGTTCTTGACCTTCCACGCCGTAGGCATGAGGATATGGTCGTGCATGTTCTGGCCGACCTCGGGCTGGTCGAGCTTCACCTCGATGCCATGCTCCGTTAGGACATCGGCGGGACCGATGCCAGAGAGCATGAGAAGTTGGGGAGTTCGGTAGGCGCCGGCGGAGAGGATCGTTCTACGGCTGTGGTACTCTGTTCCGTTTTGCAAGCGGATACCCTTAGCAGTGACTGTGGTGCTGTTGGGACTCTTGGACACGAGGATATCCTCGACCATAGTGTTGGTGATGACGGTAACACCGTCCAGAGGGAAAGCCTCCGAGGCGAGCTGTCTGCGTCCTTGATTGCGGTTCTCCTGGAGGTCTCCGTAGCCGATGGGGTTTCCGGCGTTCGCGTCAAGTTGGGGCAGGGCTGTGATACCGAGAGCCTCAAGAGACTCGGCCAGTTTTCATCGCATGGGGAAGTGCCGGTTCATGGGCGTGACGCCCTGGATGATCATGGAACCGTTCTCACCGTGCTGGGAAGGGCTGATGCTGGCGTCGAAGAACTTCTCCGTCAGCTTCATGTAGGGAAGTTGGCCCTCGTAGCTCCATCGATCGTCGCCGACTTCTTCGGCCCAGAGGTCGTAGTCAACGGTGTGCCCGCGGACCCAGGCAGCTGGTACGAGTTGTGATCAGTGGCTTGCTCTAAAGACTGGAGAACGAGCTCGACTTACCTCCATTGATGGCCGTCCCGCCCCCAAGGGCCTTGCCAGCGGGCGCCGCGATCGATCTGTTGTCCACGTTGGCTTGCGGAATTGACGTATAAGCCCAGTCAATGTCGCTCCCGGCACCGGTACTGGTGTTTGGGTACGCGATTGACTCAAGACCGTTGACATTGGGTCCGGCTTCAACCAGTAGAATCTTCAAGGTCGGATCCTTGTGGAGGAGGCGGTTTGATATGACGGAACCGGCGAGGCCACCGCCAACAACGATGAAGTCCCATAATGACATGGCTTACACGGGAAGCTGAGCATCTAAAAGAACGACTGGCTGACTTTCATGATAAGATGGCAGGGAGTTACGAAGACAAGAACCGGCAGAGCTTCCCTTACTCCTTATACAATACAAGATCTCGCCGCACCTCCGGCGATAACATCTCTTGAGACCGACGGGATGCAGTTCGAACCCGTTGACGGCCCATCTTGCAGTTCGTTGTCGCGCCACATGCTAGGTATCATCAGATCCTAGAGCTTCGAATGCAAGGGTCCCGGTAAAAGGTGCATATATGTATTCGACCACCCACAGACCGTCTGGGGTCTGAAGAAGGCAAATATGTAAGTTGTGGACAGTCGTTGGAATATAGTTGCATCAAAACTCACACTAACGACCTCGGAGGATGAGCGCTCATCGGCTCGATGCAGACTCAGATGAAGATCCGCTTTTCGGGGCGGTTCCGGTCTTGCGCATGCCCGGACGAACTTCCACAAAGATCATGGTCCTACTCTGGGTATCCGACGGTCTTGTAACCGATTAACTGAGCCGATATCGCAATACTCTGGCTTTTGAACGGTATCCCGCTCGCTGTGCCGCGTCCTCGCATCAACTTGGCGCGGCCTTTGAAGACTGTTCTCGGCAGCATGAGATACTCCCGGGCGTGATGCAGAACACAGTCGTTTGAGTGCGACGTTGTTACATAGCTATGACTGCGTAGAAAAATCGTAGGAAACGAAACATCGTGGATTTGAGGACTAGATTTTACTCAAGAAATATATTTGCATAGCTGCGGACGTGATTCTCCAGCACCAAGTAACGTGGACTCTGCCCCATAAACATATCCATGTCCCATAGAATCCTACATGATGACCCACGAACCTGGATCTTTTGATGCCTGCAGTCACTAACAACCAAGGACATGCGGCACGGGTGAAGCAAATAAACTTCCAACACGACAATCACAAACTACGTGCTTCTCTTGCAAGGGTTACAACTAGATTTTGCAGCTCGTTTACACTATGCGGACCAATCGACTGACAATAATTGCGTGCTTTCCATCGGGGAACAGGAAGACCCGACATATCTCTTGCAAATGAAGACGTATGTCCCGTAAATTGGACACCCACGTATCTTGGTATCGATGCCGCCGCATGATTCGAGCATCGCAGGCACATGCGATGATGTGTTATCCAGCAGCCCGGACTCGAAGAGCACCGCTGCAGATATGGCAGCGGACCAAACCTCCTTGAAATCTGTAGAAGAAGCTTGTCAAATTTACTCGCAGGTATTTCCTCTTTGGAGCAGGACTTGTGCTGTTGCAGGGGCTCATCAGGATCAAGGCCACTTGGGAAGTTGGGACACCTCTACTATGTTATTGGCGATTTTGCCACGAACCTTTGGTCGCCCAGATTTGAAGGATGCCTGTTCCTGAACATCTTCTATTCGCTCCAAATCTAGTTTCGAGAACCTTTGAGGCCAGATTTACCACATCAGCTCGGCCCTTCCATCTTACTCTTTCTGTTGCCAGTCATGGAGAGCCCGATTGCCATCAGAGTTCGTCAAGCTGGTAGCGCAACACCGGCTCCAGTCATTATCGCGGACACATTTCCCCCTCTTACGTCTTCGGGGGCCGCTCTCGTTGCTACGGCGTCGGTAATGCTTTGGTTGACCACATGCTGGACCATCTTCCGCGTTTGGGCTCGAAAAATCACCAAGATTCCCTACTTGACCGAGAACTATCTTTACTTTACAGCCCAGGTACTTCTACCCACAAGATGTCTGGATTCAATCGATACAATTTCCCACCACTAACTATCATGTAGTTGTTATTCTATGGTGCCGCAGCATGCTTCATTCTAGGTACGCGAGGATTCTCTTCAACGCTGCCAAGTAGGTGATGAGAACGTGAATACTGACGTACATCTCACGAATTTAAGCTGTTGTAGTAAGTGGCGCAGGCCATGATATATGGAACCTCAGCGACGAGCACAAGTACCATTACTTCCGAATATCACTCGCCACACAAGTCCTCTACGCTGCGGCCTTGGGTTTTGTCAAGCTCAGCATTACTTGGATGCTCCAACGCATATGTTTCGGCCAATCGACGATATTTCGGCTCTTCGCCTGGATCGCTATGGCTCTGTTGGTCTGCTGGGCCTTATATACGGCTCTGATAGGATTTCTCATCTGTCAGCCTGTTCAGTTGGCGTGGGATCCAAGTGTACAAGGAACGTGCGGCAACCATACCACCGCGTATTCTGCGGTAGCAATATTTGACATTATCACGGACATCATCATCGTTGGACTCCCGATAAAGTTTGTTGCCCAGCTGCAGGTTCGACGTGCGCACAAGATCGCCTTGTACGGAGTGTTCTGCGCCGGGTTCATGTAAGTCGTCTATCGGCCTTCTCTTCGTTTATAGCGACCGGAAAAGAACGCAACTTGGCGGACCCCCTTCTGTTACCTGTGAATGAAGAATGTAAGCTGATCATATCGTCATACTCGATAGCACGGTTGTCTTCTCTTGTGTACGACTCTACTATGCTTACAACATTGACTTCATCAACGTAACCAAAGGCTTCGCCATAGCCAGCGTCAGCGGCGTCTTGCAAGCTGGCATAGCTGTCATGGTGGCATCCAGCCCGATGCTCCGTCCCGTCTTCGATCGTACGGTAGGCCGAGTGCTGGGTCTCAGTCTGCAGAGTCAACGACGCGGCAATGGCGCCACTTCGAATGCGACAGGCGGGAATGCTGCTGGTAATAGTTCGGCTGGGCTGCACAACAAACACAGCGCTCGATCCGACGGCTTCAAGCAAATGTCGGAGAGCGAAGAACACCTTGCTTGGGAGCTCAGGAACATGAAGGCTGCGGGAGGTCGTAATAGTTACAACATGGGGACCACAACGACTCAGGTCAATGCAGAAAGGAGCTCGGATGACAGTACCGGAGAAGAGCGCAGGTATCTGGATGGCTCACGACCGGGAAGAATCATGGTTACAAAGACAACCGTGGTTAGTCGATAAGTTGAAATGTTGATCAGGGGGGATGTCTCTTGCCCAAAGGCTTCGGACTGACGAGAACGGGACTACATGTGCATCGAGCAAGTAAAGGTCTGAGATCGGAAAGTGAAAGTCGCCTAACGCATGACCGCTGTTCAATGTTTCGTGTATCTGCTCAGTCCCTTGCAGTCGACTTGACGACCACTTCCGACTTCACCCAGACATGGATATTTTGCTTACCCCCCTTTCCCTCATCACTGGAGTACCTTTCGATATCCGCGTCCCGCGCCTGACCACTTCGATCATCCGGCCCCAGTATTGAATCCACGCTATCGTTGTCGCCGAAGCCCTTTCCAGCAGACCTCGTCCCGCTTCCCCACCGCCCTTCGCCGCTTCGTCCCGCGAGGCTTCCCAAGTCCAAGTCTGGCGTCTTCAAGCCAACTCGGACGGTGTAGTCGGTTCCGCCAATCGTCTTCAAACCGAAGCCCAAGTTGGATCCGGTCATATCTCTGGTGTATGGCCCAGGCCTGCTGCCGTTTCGGGACGTCCACTTGCTGAGCCAGCCCTTGAAGAGGGGGCGGCACACGGGAATGCCGATGCAGACGAGAGTCACCGCTAGTTCTGCTGCATGCCATACTATCAGGGCGACAGTGTCTTCTGTTGAGTATTCTTGTTAACGGCAAGTTCAGGTTATGGTACGTGAGGGTGACTAGAGAGAACATAGGTTCGAGGTCCATGCAAAGGTGACTTACTTGTGAAGTTTACACTGCTCAGGTTCTTGAGCTCCAAAGCCCTCAAAATTCCGCATGCGCCAGCACTGTTACATTTATTAACATAATATCACTCCGGCATGCCGATTTTGAAGGTGCATGCCTCCAACTGAGAGGGCAGGACTTACATGACCCCCAAGCTCATGCTCATATTGATAAGCACTTTCTCCCTCTTTGGCATCTGAACGTTCCACAATAATGCCCACGGTGTTATGGCGTACCAAAAGTCGACGACAACGCTCCAAGCTCCTGCAGCTGTCGAGATAGGACCCGCATCGATGGGACAGCTGCCATCGGGGATCAGCCGGTCCCAGAGAAAATTGATCGGCGTACACGAGAACCAGAAGACAAGAAGAGAGGCCAAGGCGATGAGAAACAGGATGATGACAGGGGCGACCACGAGGATCTGGTGCAGGCGAGTGTTCACGAGGCGGAGGAGAAACAGCGCCAGAGAGGCCTTGGAGACGACGATGGCGGATACGAGGATTGTGCTGCCGATTGCCTCGTATAAAATCGCTTTCGGCACGTTGTCCATCTCAAGCTCTAGAATATTCCTACCAAAGCCGTAGAAGGAAGAGATCGTGAGCATGACATCGTAGGCGACGAAGAGAAGCTGGACATGAAAGGGTTAGCCAAGGTTTGCGATGCAGTTGTGTTTGGTTCCTGGCACTCACGAAAGCGAGGTTGAAGAAGTGGTCATCCACGCCGTACGCTTGCAGGATGACAAGTCGAGTATACAAACGCAACAGCACGAAGAACAGAGCAAGACCCGTCAAGCCCCAAAGAACGGCCAGCGCCATGGGCGCATCGCCGCCTGGTCCTATCATGATCTTCAGATCTGTCTTGCGTCGATCTTGCAATCGAGACAACGTGGAAAGACAGAAAAGAGACAACCGCGGGATCCAGTCTGGGGCACCCGATAATTAAAGGTTGCGATTCATCTCCCTAAATCTTGTTCTCCTCCACGAGTCAATTTTAACGGGGACCAGCGATTGGTGGTAGCGAATCTGGAGAGGTCGCAAGGAGGGTCGGAGTCTTTGAGTCCTTGCTTGAAGGATTCGGAACTTGGCAGTTGAATGGGCCTAATCTTTTCGAGTCCCGGCGAGGCCCCTGGGCGAGACGACTTGACAGGTCGATCATTGACCGAAACAAGACATCGGGAGGCTTATTGTGGATGGATTCTGCGGCGTACCCATGGCTTAATTCAAACGAAGGGCAGAGGAGATCGTCACTATCCACAAGGGGGCCATAACAGCTAGGTCCACAACCACGTCAAAGCACGCACGCGGCAACTGAATTTCGTCCAACGGGAGTTCTCACAATGGCCCGCTGGAACCATAATATTCCAACGGTCATCAGCATTCAGCACCATCCCCCCCACCCATCACGATTTCGTCAACGTTTCCGCTGGCCACGCGAGAACAGGAGAGTTAAGACCCATCAACTTACGACGGATGCGAACGTGCAGCTAAACATAGGAACGCCTGGCATGCCCTCGTAGAAGAATGAATAGTTCCAAAATGTGGACCACAACTCGTGGCCTGGTTACACCACAATGCTCGGCTTCAGGGGCAGTCTAGGCACGAGGTCTGCTGGCCCCCATCATGATCCGGACTCAGGAACAGTGTGTCGAATGTTGCATCGTCCGAACTCGCGTAAACATAACAAGGATCCCTATGAGCTACTGAGTTTTAGTGCATCTTGGTCAGGCTTCCTAATTCTCCGAACACAGTATTTGCAAATGCCGATAGGAAGCCTCGAGCTAGAACGAAGCCATCCATTGAACAATCGGTAACACCATTGTTCGAAACCACCTTTAGAGCGAAGACTAAATAGACTGTAAGAGATGACGGCCGCAAGTGATCTCGTTGGTCTCCCACACACACGGAGCTGGAAGCCCTATTCGGCCGCGCTGCTCCGAGAGCGACGGGCCTAGTCGGTGTGACCCGTAGCGACTACTGTCAACCACTCAAGTTATTGCCTACGAGACCGAGATACGACTGGGAGGCGACCCGGTTGCGACAAGGAGGTCCGAGAGCGAGTTTACGGCCCGCTGCCGTGTTTCCTCGGACCCCAAAAACTGGTGAATGTTCCTGAATTTCTGCTCTCTTCCCCGGCCTTATCCATGTAGAATGTTGTTGGAGGGCATCATTTGTCGGACAATAACTATCTAAAGGTGGCGACGTGTTATAGCCATATATGTTTTATGGCTTCCCAAAGGCCTTTTGTTACTGCTGATTCGAAGGGTAGCATGATATTCGCATATCACTACGTATATCTCAGCAATTGCCGAAGGATGGGATGCATTGCAATCTCCGCAGCGAAGATATGGTGTACCGTTTTCAAACCCTGACCTGCCCAATCCTTCAGCAGCATCCGCTGATTGCATGGACGGAGCCGGGATCCGCATCCAAGACAACATCCATGCATCCTGTCGCGGTCACCTGTCATTTCTCATAGCAATGCTGCTCCTGACGAGCACATATAGTTCTCTCTGTCATCAATTGTATCTCTGTGCGATTGGACTCATGTGGTTTGCTGATCTGGAGGTATGATCACCTGCGCTAGGCCCGGAGCCTTAAATCACGTGGATGCACCCAGTGTGGGTGCACGGCACATGAGACCAGCGACTCTGGAAAGACGAGGATCAAGTCTTTTTCATCTTTCAGTCTATTGGCTACTAAAGTCGTTTCTCGCTTAAGCTGTATTGACATCAACAAACACACAAACTGATTGAATTTCCACTGTCAAGGAGTTGTAATCGTTCTCAGACTATTTGCTGCATTCGTGAAGCTCTTGGAAGTCACCTGCCCCTCGACTAGACTTGCGTATACTCGATATTGATCTTGCTTGCTCCTCTTGAGGTGTCGACAAGCGCTGCCCATGCGAGAGACGAAAGATGCATGGTGGCATCAGCTGACGTTTTACCAATGGGGTTGTTGGAAAAGTCGACCACTTCCACCTGAATCGTACCAGTTTTGCAGGCACGGGGACTCGAACTCAGGCACCGCACTAAATACTGCCTCCCACAAGACGCCCCATTATCCCAAAGTCCCTCACCGAGAGAAACGAAATATCCATTGGAAGGGAATTGATCCCGGCTGTTGCCGTTACACCTAGTTGGTAAAAAAGGTTCGGACCAAGAACCAGCAGTGCCAACATCTGCACTGGCAAGTGGAACTAAGATGCTGAGTAGCAATGAAAGCTTCATGTTGCTAGTATGAAGTGATGGTGTGAGTAGGCACCAATACACAAAATGGGCCGTGAAAATTCTTACAGAGGACAGAGGGTCTGCTTACAAAATAGGTTTGATGTCGACTAAGGTATATTCTGTGGTCTACAGTCTGGCAAGAAATACAGCTTGGCGAGCCTGGCTTTATAGTCGAATCTCCTCTGGGGCTGTGAAAGACCTTGTCAGGGACTGCATTCCCCCCCCTCGTTTCCCTTTAGTTGCGCGGGTGCAGACGTGCCAGAGCCCATCGCAAGAATAAATGTCATTTCAGGCATGTGCCATAGATGCCCATACCGCAGGTGAGAGTGTTTGTCCTAGGGAGGCGAACAAAGACACAAGTTGATTAACGCAGTTAGTTTCTTCGAAAGATAAAGCGGGACTCCGTACGACTGCAGTGCTCATTGGGAAACCTTGCTACGAGCAAGGCAGGAGAGAGTCAGGGGCCTTGAATCGCAGCATAACAGGCTGAATATGTTGCCGAGTCGCAACGCAGAGATACTTTGTGATAATTCGAATGAGCTATTACCCGCAATTTAAAGACAATGAAGCCGTGAAGAGTCATCAAGTTGTTGAACGCATATTTCAGACTCGTGAAGCCAAACATTGAATAGAAAGGTCCTATCGATTTAACTTGCCGCCCTAGACACCAAAAGGTGTTGCTGAATCCACACAATCGTTGCGAAGCTCACAACACCAGCAAAGGAAAGATGAACAACACTATCAAACTACTTCAAGTCTTTGACTGTTCACTTGTAGGTTCTGTCAATAGCACCTCCAAATTTCAGGGCCAGTGGCCTCAGTTACAAAACTCAAGCCAACCTAAATCCCCTGAACAAGAACTGTCCAAGGATCATTGCGCAAGCTATCGCAATAAACCCGAGAAGCAGCTTTACGAACATTAGAATGGGGCTTGTACATCGGCGAGAGAGTTGCTCCAGACACCTGAACTGTGACTCGGAAGGAACACGACTAGTAAATGCGAGACCGCTCTCCAGCATCGTCATTTTTCTCTCCATGCCCAGTTGGTACTCTTCATCCGCGAACAGATCAGCCTCAAGAGTAGACTGACTGCTCGTATCTGGCGATCCGAACCTCTCATAAACTTGAGGGTTGCTGAGGGTGGCCTTCGAGTCTAGCACAAACACTTCATTGGCAAAGAAGTCACGCACTCCATCCTCCCACTTTGTCTTTTGCGCGTAAAGGTTGATCAACTTGATCGACTTATCGATGGCATCTCGGGCTCCAATGATGTGATTGAAGGATTCGAGGTCCCTTGGGCTCCGGGATTGCTTGGACTCATCATAGTGCGCGTGACGTTTGGATTGACCAGAGTAGGTGTGGAATGTGATGACGGGCCCAAGTCTAGCAAACTTGCCGGGCTTGAACCTGAAGAAGCCTATGATGAGTGAGTTAGTGTGCGATCTTATCGTAATGAGTGGCAAAAGAAACTTGATAACGAGATATCGGGGTATCTAGGGGACGTGAAATCTTACCTTCGCCATCTTTACCATCTAGGTCTCCAGGATTGGCCAAGCGACGGAGTGTGTGTCCGACTGCGTACGAATCTTGGACCATGTGCAGGCAGTGACCAAAGGCACGCTTGGAGATGTTCGCCTTTCGATACGAAGGCGTTCTACCCAAGAATAACTGTCTCAGGCTTGCGTCTCCAGAGGGATCAGAGTAGCTTGAGAAACGGGTCGGGAACCGATCAGCAAGGCTGTCAGTCTCCCTCACGTCCTGGACGCCGATAGCAAGCTTGTAGATGGTTTCCAACCAAGAAAGCATGTTTGCCTTTGTCTCGTTCGGATCGTCATTCGACTGAGCGGCCATCGCGTGGAAGAATTGAAGGTCCCCAAAGTGGCTCCGTTGCGTGAGACTACTAGGAGCGCCGGCGTAAAAGTCACCGAGAAACTTTTCGCCCAGTGCCAGTTCGCTGTTGCTCTCTCTGGAGTCTTCGAACAACAGACACAGAGGGTCATCGCTCCAAAGAAGACCACGCATGTACTCCCACTGGGCAGCGTCGAGATTGTTGTACTCAGTTCCCTTTGGAAAGCGCATCTTGGATGCGATGAAGGCGGCGATAGCGATGTCTTCATGAACTGGGTCTCGGATCTTGATGCCAAGTGGACCATTGAATCCAATTTCAAAGGCTGCGTGAGCGTCGCCGTTGGTTTCATTGGGGGTGTTTCCGGCTTCAGTCATGTCGTTGGCCGAATTCTCGGTCAGGTAGACCTCGACATGACCTGGACAATTTATTAACAATGTGAGAGACGATGCGGACCCGGAGGAAAAAATACCTGTGAAGGGGTGGCCGGTAAGATTGTAGTCAAGAACTTGGCATGAGACTAACTTGGGGTTGCTCGACTTCGTCCGCAGATAGTTGTCGTTCCATCTGCCATAAGGATCGCAGAATTCAACCTTGAATGAGAGAGGAGTGTCAGGATCGGAGGGATGATACAGCTCGTACACAACCTCTCCCTGGCTGCCCGAGAAGCCTACAATAAATTTGTTAGCTCGCCATTGTTAGATGTCGCTATAGTAGTGCTCTTCTCATACCAAAGCTGTCGTTCAGTTGGATCAAAGCTTGAGCTCCAGCCTTGATTGTATTCGGAGGGCATCCTTTCGCCCAAGAGCCGAGAATGGCCTTTGAACTATCAAGTGCAAAGTCGACTTTGGTTTTGTTGTAAATGTAAATGATCGACTCATAGCCGCTGGTTGGCGTGAAGATGGGCTCTTGATGGTCGGCCATTGTTAATATCAAGTGGTGCAGGGCTGTGTTGATAAAGAAGCCGTTAGGTATATTACAGCAGGACCTACGTATGGTTTTATATCAATCACGTAGACGATGTGTGACTGGTGACTGAAAGAGGTCGATACGTCTTGTGATCACGTTGCGGTTCTCAAACACGGCCAAATTACCATTTTGGTCCATGATGTTGACGATAGACCACGGTCTAGGACCCTCGAATTTTGAGCTGAATGTCAGCTTCTTGCCTATTCGGGACTCGATGGAATCCACCACGATAACTAGATCTCGGTCGTGGACCAGTGCAGTGAGCCCATTCAGACGGAAAGCAGCCATTTCTGTAACCGCCGAGAAAGCAGTGCTATCGATATATACCGATTGGGGATGTGACGAATACACGCGTTCCTGTTCGAGTGGCCGAGGCACAACTTATCTGTCTTTAGGAGAGCTGAAATAACCCAATTTGGACATCTTTGCGGCAGTTCCACGAACGAATCCGGGGATAGGAGGGTTCCGGACGATCATCAAGCCAATTGGGGACCCCGGTAAGTGGGTTGTGGAAGGTCTGGACTCCAACAAGCAACACCGCGCCAGTGGTTCTACACTAGGACTGGGCCCCAGCAGGGGTCGGCTGCGGCCTTCGATAGTGTCAACAGCCTCACATCCCTATTCCATAATAGGTTCTAATGCTCTGGATCGAGTTTTGCTTCGGCATGCCCTCTCAGTTCTAGAATGGCATGTTTTCACTGCCAATTTCAGCTGTGTACTAGCGAGATGATCATGTGTGGTCAACATTTCCAGCGGTAAGTAGGGTCTGAAGAAGACCCTGCAAAGTGGCGGGCTGAAACGTGAAGAAAACTCTTTTTGAAAGATAATGAGTCGAATTTCGACCATTTGTTGTAGTAGCATTACGTGTTTCATAGGTACTTTAATGGATACGATCTTACAGAAAATTACACGACGGCGCTCCTCAAACTGGATTCGCATGTGTGGCGAGGCGACCTCAAGCGTAGGGCTCTAGCTCCTTCTCTGTCCACTTCCACAAACTCTCTGCGAGCTCTTCGTTCAACGCGTTCTTAGAGTCCTTGCCCTTCACACCTACTGGCCAGTAGAACACACCAGTCTCGGCATCCGGACTGACCGAGGCCCACAGCTGGTTCAGCGCCCCCTTTGAGACGGGCGTCGACACAAGCCAAGTGACGAGGCCAGCGATTGGCTTGACGAGAGGGTAGCTGGCGATTGGACCACTGACGAGATTCGTGTTAACAGCTCCAGGGTGGAGCGAGATGCAGCGGATCTCGGGGTATCGCTTGGCAAGGGCCTTGGAGTGGTGGATATTTGCCACCTTGGACGCGCCGTACCGCGCCCAGGTTCCCGTGGAGGCCATGTCGGTCTTGAAGTCGTCAAAGTTGTAGAGGTTGCTCGGGACCCAGTTCTCGGCCGCCGAAGAGAGCGAGATGATGCGCACGTCCTTATCAGGGCCGACCTTGGCGGTGTGCTGCAGCGTCGGCAGGAGAAGCTTGGTCAGAAGAGCGTGCCCCATGTGGTTCGTTCCGAACTGAATCTCGTAGCCCTCCTTTGTCACACCGGGCGGCCAGGCCATGATGCCGGCATTGTTCATGAGGATGTGAAGAAGCTGCGACTTTGACTGGAATTCCTTAGCAGCACGCTTAATGCTTTCGAATGACGTCAGATCGACCTCGAGGAACGAGATTGGTGCTGCGTCTGGCACTATCTTCTGGATATCCTCAATCGCGGCCAAAGCTTTGGACTCATTTCTTGCTCCGAGGTAGATGTGGGCTGGCTTGTGCTTGCTGAGCTGGGTGATTGTTTCCTTGCCGAGGCCGATATTGCCCCCAGTGACGAGGATGATTTTGCCTGTAAGGTCAGGGATATCCTTAGCTGCGAAGCGCACCATTGTGATGATATGTTGATATATATGAATTTCAGTGATGGGGAATTAGCAGTGTGTAAATGGCAAGAAATCGGTGAGTACTGAGCTTGCTGAGATAGTCAAAAAGTTCACCCGAGGCCGCCGTTCAGGAGGGAGCAAGGGCGAAGACGTAATTTAAGCCTAGGCTCAAGCGGGGTTGGCTGAAACTTAGTTTCTGAAAGCCGGCGGAGCTCGAACACCGTGGGCGGACTTGCGGAGAATGTGGGCCCCGGCCCGGCACCTTGGCGACCTTTGTGGCACAGTCGCCGGCCGGCATAAGCTCGGCTTGCACCGATTGAGCTCCGGCTGTCATTACCCGGATAGATAAATATCTAATCGCATTGTTCCCTCTAATACGTTCTAGCAAATTTCATCCCCTGATTCAACTTGTCGACAGTACCAGCAACTTTCCGGATAGCATATGATCGTTTTGTTATCCGTACGTACGCCCACGGATACATGTGACATGCATTTCTCTCGGAGATCTATGACTGATGCACCAGGGTACACTTCAGGACTCCAAATTAGCGAGGGATTTCTACCAGAGAAGCTTGCTTGCGAACTTCATGATCTATTTAACTGCGGACTCCGCCTTGGTAATTATCTACTTCCTAGAGGCAAAGTTTCTATCAACAGGTTGTATTATCACTCTGCGGTAGCTCGTCAACGCAGGCGAGCCGCTATCCGTGATTTCAAGTATTAAGTGCAGCGGCAAGCCTCGTTCCAGGGGAATCTTTTCCCTAACCACAATGCAGGACTTCTCCGCAGGCGCAATCTTGACCTCCACCTTACTTCCGCCGTCGTTGAGAACCTTGATCTCAATGTCAGACACCTCCAATCCGTGATACGTCTGCAATGAACTTGGCTCGCGGTATTGGTACCATTTGAAGCTGAGTTTGTCACCGTCGGGATCGTAACTTCCCGACGCATCGAAAATAACAACGCCTCCCGCATCGGCTTCGACGTTAATGGGCGCCAAGCTGGCATCGCCATTCACAACTGCGATTGGATGATGGTTGACCTTGCCGAAATCAGATGTCAAAGTCCACTGCATGCGTGCGGCAAAGTCGTCCTGGAAAGCGTTCCTCCACCGCCAGATGGTCGCTTGGTTGGACCTGTGCGGCTTGCCGTCCACACCAGTCACAGTGTCGATGGCGTCGGCAAAATGACCCCTGGAAGAAAGTCCCTTTGAGCTCACATTCACTGGAATATAGCGGCCGCCCCAGGATCCATAGAGAGGCTCTTCTGGAACGCCCAGGCCGTTTTGAATGAGGTACAAAAACGTGGGCGTGTCTCCCTCGATGATGAACTCGAAATCCGGGTATGCGGCGCCCAGAGGACCAATCTGAACGTTTTCTTTGACCCATTCGTGGGTCACCTTTGAGCCATCAGGTCCTCCCACATCGCCAGAGCAAGGGGCCGAAATACCAGTCCATGCGGCAGCTTGGTACTGGTTCCAGCCGTGAATGGAGCAAATGTAGAAGATCTCGGGATATTGTTGGCGGATCCAGCCTCCGCAATCGTCTTGATCGGAGATTGTGTAGACGCGCAACTTCTGTCGCAGCTTGGCTGCGTCTGAGCGGTTGCGGATCTTGTTGAGGACTTGGGCAAGCACATTGACCCCACCCCAGACGAGAACCCAGAGAGGCTCTTCTTCAGGCGTCGTCAACCTCTCAAGAAGAAGTTCACCTCCCTCGCTGAGCGGTATATCGTCACCCACGGCTTCCATACCATAAACCTGAGAAATCGCTCTGTTAGTAAAACTGTTTTCCGCTACCGTGAGTCAATGCTACTTACCGGAGGGCCAGACTTGATCAGGTCCCTTACGCTCTGCGCTGACGGGTACGGGGAGTCCGCAGGGGCATGTGCGTTGAGGTTATCAACCACTTTCTCGTATGCATTAACGATATCATGGAGATTTTGCGGCGCGACCTTATTTTTGAGCCATGTTGAAGTGACGGCAACTACACCTTCTGTGCGAAATTGATTAGAATAGGTGAGATACCTGCAGAAGGATTCCGCATCATCAGGTTCGTTGGTGATGTCTGTCAGAATGAAGACACGCGGTTTTGACGGGAATGCATTGAGGGCTGCTGCACCCCGAGTCGTTGAAGATGCCATGGAGAATGGTAAAGTTTCTCTATGTAGTCGGACTTAATACAGTACTTGGTATTGAACTCGGGACTCGGCTTCCGACTTGATCTGACGATTTCGGCCTGATGTTTGGGTGTTGTCTTTCTCTTAAAGTTGTTATTATTGAGTTGCTTACGGGTAAGATTGCCGAAGTCCGCTGTAGTAGTATTACTCCAAACTCTAAAACCTGGTGTCAGCTGGATAAGACGCTCTATTCAGGCGCTCGACTTCCTCTAAATAGGTAGCTGGAGGCTCGCGGGGGGTATTTGGCGAGGGGTAGAGTCAAGGGTGCTTATTAGGAAATACGGGGAAGCTAATTGACACCTGATTCAAACCAGTTTGGATCGTCCGCAATAGGCAATATGAACCACCGGCAAACCCCTCACGACTGTCGGCCTAGCGTCAAAGAGGAATCCGTAGCCTCAGAGCCCCAAGTGAAGAAGTGTCGTTTTCTTGGATGAACCATGCCCAGTGCCACCTCCGCATAATTCGATCCCCACGGGGACGTTGTCACGGTAGATGTCGGTTGAACGGTTTTCAGGAACCGCGCCGTTGGGCACCTTCTCCACAAGCGCCCCCAGACCCCAGGATCATGACGAACACAGTTTTCCTGGGGTAAAGTCTGCCTGTGTGGTTGCTTGATAGTTTCAAAATATTAAAAGTCTCCAGCAACCCTCACTTCTGGGCTCTGATTTGAGCAACCCAAAGTGGCACCGGCTTTCCGAGAATCCTTGGTTCAACTCTCTATTTTCGCTCTTTTACTTCTCACCCATGAGATAAGCAATCATCATGGTGAATTACGACGACGGCTATGCAGCCGAAAAGGTTGACTCACAACATGATGCTAAGCACCTTGAGGTCAGCGCCGACTCTCAGTTGGCACTCGCTGCCGACTTTGAAGACCATGAGATGGGCATCTGGAAGTCATTCGTCCGTTACCCGTGGGCATGTGCCTGGTGTGTTTACGCATGCTGGACTATCATCCTACTCAGCTTCGACGTCCAGGCTGCAGGTGCTGTTGTGGGGATCCCCGAGTTTCGCAAAGACTTTGGATACGAGTTCAACGGAGACTATGTCCTTCCAGCTATCTGGCAGTCTGCCTTCAGTGGCGCACCTATTGCCACGTAAGCATGATACTTTACCACTTTGATCTCGGGCAAGTAAAACTTACTTCGTCTTCTAGTGCCGTAATTTCATCGATTGCCTCCGCCGAGCTCGCTGATTACATTGGCCGGAAGAAAGTCCTGGCTTTGGCCCTCGTCATCTCCTTTATTGCCGTCGCTATTGAATTCATTGCAACAACAAATCCGGTCTTCTTTGCTGGGAAGCTTCTCAATGGTTTCATGGTCGGTGCTGTCGGCACCATCATGGTGAGCTACATCGGAGAAATTACACCACTGGCCCTCCGCGGCATCTTCACTTGTGGAGTCGGTGTTGCCTACGGAATCGGACCTCTAGTTGCGTTTATTGTAATCAACTACACCGGCACCGTCGAGTCTCGCTGGGCCTACCGCACAGTCTTCTGTTGCCAATTCGGCTTTGCCGGAGTTTCAGCGATTCTTTGGCCATTCATGCCTGAGTATGTTACCAGTTCTTTGGATAAACTGAAGATGTCTATACTTGACTAACCTACTTTAGATCTCCGTGGTGGCTAGTATCCAAGGGGAAGAAGGACGAAGCTCTCAAGAGTCTCGGAAGACTTGGACACTCCGGCAATGAGGGGAGAGCGAAACTTGCTCTCATTGAGCGCACACTCAATGAGGTCAAAGCCGAGACAGACGGTGTCACCTACCTTGAGTGCTTTAAGAAATCAAACCTGAGGAGAACAATCATCAGCATCATGCCTCTTTGCATTCAGAGTTTTAGCGGAATTGCCTTTGTGGCCAGCTACTTCACTTGTCAGTATTCCACCTGCTTGCCAGACGACAACGTATTTGAGGCTTAGCTCCATGTCGTCATGAAAGCAACGGAACTAACAGTTGACTACCTAGACTATCTCCAGCTTGCTGGTTACTCCACTTCAATGAGCTACCAGCTTCAGATTGCTCAACCCGTCCTATCTATTGTCGGCAACTTGATGGCTGCCGCTGTAATTGACAGAGTCGGCCGAAGAAACCTGACGTTCTATGGCCTGGCCATTCTTACAGTCTTCCTTCTGATCACAGGCGGATTAGGAACAGGCACCAGCCAGCCCATGATCAAAGGAACCGTTGCGTTTATTCTCATCTACAGCTGGTGGTACAATGTCTCAATCGGATCAACCGCCTTCTCTCTGCTTGCCGAGGTGTCTACTTCTCGCCTACGAGCCAAGACCGTCGCCATCGGATATGCATCGCAAAACTCCATCAATGTCATGTGGCAGTTTGTCATTCCGTACATGTTCAACCCGGACAAGGCCAACCTCGGCGCCAAGATTGCCTTCATCTTTGGTGGCTTGTGCCTCTTTTCCCTGGCTTATCTCTGGCTCTTCCAGCCTGAAACTGGTGGTCGCTCCTACGAAGAGCTCGACGAAATGTTTGCCAAGGGCGTTCCCGCGAGAAAGTTCAAGTCGTATAAGACGACTGTGCAGTTACGAAATGAGACTGCTGCGCATGATGGGAGCCATTGATGTAGCTCGCGACGTATGGTAGGGCCAGTCCGAGCTGAATATCATTAGGACAACTAAACGGTGTCACGCCTGTATGTGAAGAAGCAAATAATCTCGTACAATTTCTCAATCATACCGGAAAATTCTTTAGCCGCGGGACACTATCCAGAGAAAGAAGCAAAACGTTGCATGTCATCCTTTGTTCATTTGTCAAAGACCTACATACAATCCTAAGTCCTCGGACCTCTGTTCAGGTTTAATGTAAAAGTGTGTCCTTCTGCGCATTTCTCAGACTTTCCTGAAGCCAGTGAGGCCAAGCGCGCAGTCCTGCCGCTCTAGCATAGTCCCCTGGCAAGTAAACGTGGCCACTGCGACCAGAGACAACCTGCTTGAAGATGGCATCAACTACCGGCTCCGGCTCAAGTATCTTTGACTTGAAGGGACCCGAGCTGTGGACCTTTTCGATCAAAGCTGTCCTTATGTAGGTCGGATGGATGATGCTATTCATCGGTCAAAGTCAGTCTTCCACAGCTTACTTACTAAGGTAGATCATCAATCTTAGACTCACCTCGTGCGCACTCTTGGTGCCTTGTATCGGTGCCTCAGCTCCTGGGCAAGTCCCTCATGCAGGGCTAGCACGCCAATTTTGGAACAAGAGTAGTCCACGTTATTTACACCCGTCACAAAGCTCGCCATGCTCGCAACTGATACCACGTGGCCATGGTTGTTGTGGATCATTGAGGGCAAGAACTCCTTGATCAAGAGGAAGCTAGCAATGATGTTGACGTCAAAAACGTGGCGAATTTGCTCCTCAGTCTCGTCTAGCATCGAGGCTATTTTCATGACGCCTGCGTTGTTCACCAAAACCGTAGGATCGCCGTGATCTTGACGGATTCGGCCTGTGATCTCTTTTATTGACTTGCTTGATGTGATGTCCGCTTCGTAGAAGTACGCATTCGACGCTGATTACAACTTTAGCGAGACGTGTCATGAGAGATTCACCAACGCAGACTACACTTACGCAGCGGAGTCCTCGGTGGAACAACGTCGAGACTGATTACTTTGATGCAATTTTTGGCTAGCTTGCGTACCAGCTTGTCCCCCAGGCCTCCGGATCCGCCGGTAACTACCACCAACTCCCTTCGCCAGTCATACTTATCTTGAGTGAAGTTGTTGATAGTTGCTTGGCTCAAAAGACTGTTGGATTTCCGAAGCGCGGCTATTCCAAGCAGCAAAGAAAGGACAAATCTCGGCCAACCACGTCGGAAGACTAATTTCAGAATTACTGGCGTTTTGAAGTTGCGAAATAGCTCAATAAGCTTCGCGGACAAAGCTGAAGACGACTGAATAAGTTTGGAAGACATTGTTTCCCGAGCCGTCAAAGAGTGAAGTTGGACAGAAATGGCCGACGCCTGATGCTATTCGCCGACCACTCTCTACCCTATATTCGGATCGACGGATGGACAGCAAAGCCGACGGGCAACATCCGTTCTCCGTCTGATACTTCCCCGCAATTGCAACGTCCACTTAGGTTCGGGATAGCTCCTTCACCGTGTAGCATCTCCGCATGACGAGCCGAGGCTCAATTGAGTCCGTGCAAGTGATCGTGCGACGCTTATGCATGACTATGAGACGAAGGCTTCAATTCGCTCAAATGGCGAGTCGAGCAACGAAATTACGACACAATTAAATGAGTCTTGTGTTGAATGAACTCGGACAAATGCTTGTGGAAGACGCTTTACTTGAGCTCTTTCAACTTCCATGAGACTTTGGACAATATCAGCATGGGGTACACTATCGAAGATCGATTCATCACATCCAGCCGAAATGGCCAAAATATTGCTATTTCTATCTACAAACCCGACGGAATGAAACACCCAGCACCCGTCATCGTGATGGGTCACGGCATCGGAGCCATCAAGGCCGCCGGCCTGGCTCCTTTCGCAAGCCACTTCACAGCAGAGGGTTACACCGCCGTCACGTTCGACTACCTGGGCTTTGGCGAGAGCGAAGGCTTCCCGCGGAACGTGCTCAACGTTGGGCATGAGCTGCAAGACTTTCGCGATGTGATCAAGTGGGTTCGGGAGCCGGAGCAGAACACGTGGGTCGACTCATCACGTATCGTTGCTTGGGGGAGCAGCTTCGGCGGCATGCACACCACAGCTCTCATGGCTGAAGACCACGAGCTGGCGGCCGGTGTAGCACAATGTCCTCTTGTTGACGGGCTGGCTGGTGTGACGCAGATGCCGCTTCTCCGATCCTTGAAGTTGACGATAACGGCTGCTGCTGACATCGTCGGAGCGTACGTTCTTGGGACGAAGAAGCCGAAGTACGTTGATCTCATCAGCGATGGGTCCACCACAGCTGTCATGGCATCGCAAGAGGCTTATGATGGCTGGCATCGTTTGGCGCCTGACGACGGGCGAGATTGGCCCAATGTTATTGCTGGGCGATCTCTTCTGAACATCATGATAAATCGGCCGTTATTACACATCCACAAGAGTACTCGCCCATACTTGGTTGTTCTCCCTACCTGGGATCACGAGGCATCATTAGGTGCTGCTGAGGACTGCGTCAGACGTGCTCCCTTTGGAGAAGCGTTGAGGGTCGATGGTGGCCACTTTGACTTGTACAGGGGTGGAATCGCGTTTGAGAAGAACATTACTGGACAGAAAGAGTTTCTTAGACGTGTACTGAATAATAATCAGTAGGTGATTTCCGAAATAGAATCCGCGGCCAGGTTGAGCACAGTTGAAGGTGCCGAAATTTTCCGGCGTCAAAGTGAAAAGGCATTCCAGGATTCGGGGATATTGGACATGTTTCTACTGAATACCAAGTAAATGGAAATGATTTTTAGATTTTCTAGTTCTACGCTATGCTGGTCCTCTAAAAACGAAAGCAACAATCGGTCATCACTAGTAATTAATACACGGCGTCCAACGGCTGTCCTCAAGACACGGTAATGTCATCGATAATAACAGGGGCAGCATTTGAACCATTATCCCAGGAGAAACCTATGGAAAGGGTGCCATTGGCTGTAGTGGGAGTAAAGGTGAAGGTGTGTTGTCTGTAGCCACCCGCGTCGCTGTAAGTCGTCAAGCACGAGTACGTAGAGCTGCCACAGACTGGAGACGGGCCCATGATGGCATCGCCCCAAGCAATATAGACCTTCGCATTGTCCTGTTTTGTTGCAGAGTCAAGGCGGCCTGCATAAAACGTTACGGTCCTGGCGGCTCGAATGGGCAGGCCGGTGAGGGATTGGTAGATATGAGCTTGGCGATTCGAAGTACCGGATGGGATGAAAGCGCTTTGTGACCGTCTTACCATTTGCTTGATGATACCATCTGTCGTTGACATGAAGAGTTTGTGACTTACAGAGTTGAGCAACCTGAATTTTGATGGTTGTCTGAAATAACAGCTTGCGAAACTGGATCGCTGGGTTGGTAAAGCGAAAACCTCCAGCTGTTGAAGCCATTGTCGAAGCCACCGTTCTGAACATCACTACTGCCTGTACATTTTTTGGATTGCGGAAAATTCAAGTGTCAATCGAAAGTACTTACTGATGGTTGCGCGGCACCTGTTAGCTGAAGCAACTGAGCTGGACGAGGATGATGACGTCTTTGAAGACGACGAACTGGCGGCAGTAGTACTCGAAGAGTGAGTGGTGGTGATTGTGGAAGTCTTCGTGGATGAGCTGCTCGTAGTGCTTGTTGTGCTAGATGGGGTGGAGGAAGTAGTTGAAGATGCTGTTGAGCTTGTTGATGACTTTGAAGTCGTCGAAGAGCTCGAAAAAGAACCCGCGGTGGACGAGGTTGTTGGCCTAACGGACGACGAGGTAAATGATGGAACGGAACTGGTTGTAGACTTTGAAGTTGTAGAGGAGCTCGAAGTGGTTGAGACGGATGACGAAGTAGGGCTTGTTGAGGTCGTCGACGAGGTCGAAAAAGACGTGGAGCTATCCGGCAGGGTCAGAGGAATCGAAACATAAACGTTGAGACGATTACCTCCGCCACATAACTCGGCCTTGTTGCCCTTGCAAGGCATATCGCAACCATCCGACGCCGCTACACCTCCATTCCTGATTTGGCTTTCACACCAGCATTCCTGTGAGTATTTGACGCCGGCGATGGGATAACCAGCAGCAGAACACGCCGAAACACAGCCACCAACAAACATGTTCTGGGTACCGCCAACGACGCCAACGTTGACCGTAAGAGCCCTTCCAAGGACGTTGTCTTTCAGACATCCCTTTTCAGCCCATCCTGAGGGCATGACACTGACAGACTTGGGCTTGGCGGATGCCTGGTAGACGTTGATCCGGTTGGGACCGCCACAGTACTCGGAACTGTTGCCAGAGCAGAGCATGTTGCAGCCGTCGAAGCCCGAAGAGCCCGTGTTACGAAGCTGGCTGTCGCAGTAGCACTCGGACGAGTATTCCACACCGGCGAGCGAGTAGCCAGCAGCCTGGCATGCGTTGGTGCACTGCAACACCGACATCTTGAGATCGCCGGCTGCGACGCCGGCTCGGTAAGAAAGAAGTCTTGGGCCGGGATCGTTCTGGCAGCCCAGGGATGACGATCCCGGAGGGCCGGGGTCGATTACTGGGGCCGCGACGCCGTTTGTGAATACCGAGATTCTGTCGCTACCGCCGCAGGCTTCTGTGCTGTCGCCGCTGCAGGGCATGTTGCAGTCGGTCTCGGATTTCTTCACCGAAGTTGAAGCTAATTGGAAATCGCAGTAACACTAGGAAGTGTGAGTACATGTATGCGCACGATGTAGGAGGAGGGCAAGTTGGCTTGGCTTACCTCGCTAAAATACTCGACTACCCAACCGGGTAGCCTTTGCTGCTGCAATATGCTATACATGTTTCTTCAGTCATTGCATTGTAATCTCTGTATCCATCCCGTGATAGTTGTCGGATGCCTTTGTTGTTATCGGTATAATAGCCAGAGTAGGACCATCCAATTTGCAGAGTTGAGGAGGTTTTGACATCTCTCTTGGCAATGGAGGCTGCATTGGTGCAAGTAGTCAGCATCAGGAACAAGCTTGGAATAGAGATTTGGAACTACATGATTGTGCGTAGAAGAAGAGATGGAAGGACGATGAGCTGGTTATTTTGATACAGTTGACAAGAACAGTCTGCTACCTTATTTTGACGACGACATCATGATCCTCAAGTCTACCTGATTTCTACAGTTGCTTACTTCCTTTGTGTAACACACTAGATATTCCACTGCCAAGGAAGCCACGAGCTCAGCTCTCATAGCCATCATGCATGTCTAGCGCCGGGAGGACAATAGCCTTGTTAGCAGAGGTGAAGTTGGGTTGAAGGACTTTCGGGTGAACGTTTCCGCTTCAATTCTAGAGGCTGAAGTAACCGACAGACTCGTCCCTGATCTAACAGTGAAGCTAGCCTTCTCCGGCCCTCACATAAAGACGGGCTTCTTTGCTCCTCGCCGCCGCTTTTCCTCGCCGCCGCTTTTCCTCGCCAAACAGGAACCATGGCGAAAGTCTGAATGCCATGATATAATCCCACGTGTCTGGGGATTTTGGCCAAGCCTAGAAAATACCAAGTAATCTGTAGCTATTTCTTTGGCCTCGATAGGAAGTAGGCATCTTGGCGGAGCCCATGAGGCAGTGAGAGCTATGCTTAGCGTCCGCGCAGTAGTCGGAACTAGTATAAAAGCGGCCGAAGTAGCCAAGTCAACTCATTTATGAGAAGATCCCGCCTCGTGTTCTAACCGAAGGGAGTGTGCCGAAACGCACGCTAGCTGGTGATCTTCGTCGGGTCATACAAAGATATCCATCCACAAACCGATGCCGCTCAACGATGTCTCAATGCCCCTGAAGGCCTCCCGTGCCGGTTCCTTGCCGGGTGTGTGGGTGGGTACACCGAATGAAGGTGTCTGCCGAACTACCTACCTCGTTGAGATGAACTGTAATTGATCCACGTGATTCCAACTGAATTCGGTGCTTTTTAGAATTTACTAGTGATGGCGACTGTGAAGCGTCAACTCTGCACTGTGAGGCTAAAATGTCGGTGATGCAAAGCAGATCTCCAAACCAGAGCTCTCTCGAACTCCTAGGCACTTGCTTCAGCAGTTTGCGACAAGCAGGGATAGGTAGGTTGGCTACGTGGATGTAGGGGAAACATAGGGGAAAGGGATCCTGCGGGTCATTTGTAGTCGCACAAAGTTTAGCCTATGGCGCAGGAATTAAGCTTGTTGGAACAAACGATAAATTGACTTTGCTTTTAATCTAAAAGAGGCCCGTGACAGCCTCAGCCTACGATTAACACATCGAAACGTCAAGAGTGCTCTACACCTATGACGCCTTGCAGTACAGATTTGGTACAGTGGTCCCCTCTATTCGACGCGGTAGGTCGACAAATGGGTCATGGTTGTGTCTCTAGAACAGATTCAAGATTAGCACTCGGTCCTGTTCACGCATACGACGATAGCCACGTACCTTTCTGATCTTTACTGGCAAATCATTCCGACGCCGCCGACGGGGGCTCTGGTAGTCTGGCACGTTGTGCCGGCGCAGCATCCACGATCGCCAACGTCACCACAGTTGGCTATAGCTTGCTAGTTAGCTTTCGGTCATGAAGAACCTCGCGAAGTGCTCGGAACGTGTCAATGGGGCTGATGACTTGCCGCCCTTGGAAGCGCAGTTATCCTGCCTTGTAATCAGGCCAATATCGACGGACGCGGCAGAGACTGCGGCAACGAGGGTGAGGAGAGTAGCGAGAGTGAACTTCATTTTGGTTGTTTGGCGAAGAGATTGTGGCTTGAGATAGAGAGAAAGAGAGTGATTGAGATGTATTGGTAGATATCGATTATGGTCTGTGTGTATGGGGGCTTTGAGGTAGGATTATATACAAGTCATATTCGTCCACTTTGAACACTCGCGTAGACCAGGGGCGTCTCTTCTTGTGTTTGAGAGTCATTGTCATGTTCTCTTGGCTCCTGGGTTCTTCGCTTGGGGATTTATGATATCTCCACTAGATGCCGGTAGGCTTCAATTGCATCCCAATTGCATGATGTGTGGTACGGATACGCTACTTAGAAGCCGGATCTCGGCCAAGTCAAACTAGTCGTGCCAGTGTCTAGCCTATGCGTTCCCGGTGGACCGACAATCCTCGCCACAAACTCAATTATGTGGAGCGTGTGGGCGGCAGAGTTGCCATTGACGAGTTGAAACCCTGCGAGTTTTGTGAAGTTACCGTCTCATATAAAGTTGCCGTATATTGTCGTTGCCACCCATCCTAATTCACGATGTACTCGCCCTTCACCGTTGTATCGGATGTAGGGTGCCACTGTCAGTAATTGGCAAACGTCCCTGACTACATACTATCGTAGTCCTCGGACACCGCGCGCTGTCCGCCTACGCGTATACAAGTCACACGCCTGACTCGGAGCCTGCCTCATCTCATAACGCCGCAGAATTATGAGACGATCTAGGGATGAACTGTGGGGAACAATTGCGGCCGCCAGTCGCTAATGGTGTCCTATTGCAGTTCTGGTAGCCCACCTAGTAGTTTCCTCAGAGAATCAGAAAGGAGGGTCGGTCAAGATAAGTTGAGCGCACTTTGTCCCGCGCGCAGCTCGAGTGGCGATCTCTTGTCTCATCTCCGTCTCAACCCCAGAATTGGGAGACATTCTTCCGGTGCTTCGAGAACACGTCAGTGACCGTAGGTTGCGTTTCGGTAGTCTTCGCGGTACCGTTAGATGAGATTCCATGGATCGCGTGGGTGTTTCGGGACGATCTTTGGACCAGTGATCGACTTTGACTTGCTAGTTTGGATGGTTATGAGTGATCGGCGTTGCTTCAGCCCACACTGCCGGTAGCACAGCATGAATACCGCCGAGAAAGCGACCCCTGTGAACATGAACCGCCCCTTCGAAACTCGGTGTTCTCGTATTCTAGAAGGAGTGAGCAGCTGGACTATCGCTTCCGCAAGCAACATCGGCGGAATTACGCCTACTTGGCTGTATAATTCCCTTTCATTTCTTCCTCAGGTAATAGCTGGCTGCACTCAAACTTGACTCTCGACTTGCTGTCTCTGAATACCCTTTCTATACACTAGGCCTAACAAGGTGTCAATGGTTGAAATCATGCTGATCTTGCTGTATTTATCTACAGACATCTTCTTCAACCTTGCATATGATCTTGGGGTATCAGTCGATTCCTCTCTCACAGCCACGTGCCTCGAAGGACTTGATATGCGTTTCTAGCGCCCGGATCATAATCGAAATGACTCTACTTCAGATAGAGAAATGGCTTGAGCTCGTGAGCTACGTTCGAATTGTGTCAAACTAACTGTCTCAGACTTAAGCCTACTATACATGGTCCTTGGGGGCTTGGATAACACAAACGCTTCACATACATACACCCTTGGTTGTGGCAAGGTCAATCTCTTCACAGGGGAGTTAGCCCACTGCAATGCACACACCCAGCATTGTCGACCGTATACACAAGTATCTGCTATTGAGCAACCTAGAATTGGAAAAAAATAAATGGACGGGGAGGGGGGATACTGACCTTAGTACTCACGCCCCTGCTCGGATTTGAACAGCGCGCCCCTCAGTCAACCCGTAATCTGACTTCATTGGAGTATTTGTTTATTGAACCACTCAACCACCTCGCACACAGCTTGACCTGACCTCGCCGACCTAGACGGGCGCTGCTGTGCTGGTGACAGGAATGTGATTGAGGAGGGGTATATACCCTTGGGTGCCTGGTGAAGGGAGGTTAGGTGACTTGGATTCACCTTCTCGTCGAGACGGGGAGGAGAGGCACGGAGATGGGAAGGAGCGAGGAAGGTGCTGCCTACTGGTGACGGCACGTGGTTGAAAGTCGGGTATAGAAGGTACTTACCTCAAGGTCAATTCCCAATTGAGTACCTATCGTACTAAGCAAGTATGATATAAGGCATTAGTTGCATTCGTCTTGTATTCTTCTATACGTCATTACGTTTAACCTACCTCATCAAAACCACTCCTCAACGTCCCTCCTGAACAAAACCTCACCCCCAGCAAGCGTCCCCCCAGCCAACGGCACTTTCAAAATCCCAGCTTCCACAAGGTCCTGCGCCAACCTCACAATCAGCCCATCACACCCCCTCGCAGCCATAACATCTACAGTAACAGGCAACATCTCCGTCGCATTCGTAACCGAACTAACGCTACCAATCTCTCCCAGGGGGAAAACATGGTCCGGCGCGCCGCTGAAGACGCTCAGTCGGCCATTGGAGAAGCCCAGCGGCGGGGTGGGCGTCGTGGTCGTAGGGTAGCGGTTTCGAAGGGAAGCGCGGCCGGAGGAGCCTACGTAGAAGAGGAGAGCCGAGGAGCATGTTGACGAGACAGAGGTGTTCAGGGCAGGGGCAGAGGGAGGGAGGATCTCGGTGTTGAACCAGTCCATGAAGAGCGTCTTGTTGGCTCTTGCGTCGTCGAGAGCGCTGGCGGGTTGCGCGTCGCCCCAGCCCCAGCGTGCGAGGGGGACAGGGTTGATGAAGGGGAGGCGGCCGTTGTGGGCGGCTATCAAGTCAGGTGTTAGTCAAGCTGACAAGTGAAAGAGAGACAAGGCTTTGTTGTTTCTTTCAAAGCAGGAGAGAAAAAGCAAAGATACGAAGGAAGAAAGAACACGGAGAGCAACTTACCGGCATAATCAGCATAAAACGGATCACGCACAAGCGGCGTCTGCTCCTTGGTGATGAGCGTGGCATACGTCAACCCCAAAACCTCATCCAGCGTCTGATTCCGCACTCCCTCGGGCCCTGACTCGGCCCAAGCAGACGTCAAATTCAGCGCCGTCGCTTTCGTGCCCAAGAACGCGACCAGGTCCCCGGCAAACTTATTCAGCATCTGTGCGGCTGGTCCTTCGTCGGTAGGAAAGTCGACAGTGTACACCGTCTCGGGATACGTCACCTCCGCCTCAATTCCAACCAGCGAGGTGTAATTCGCCCCGTACAGCACCTTATTCGCCTCATCCCAGATCCACGGATCCCGCGTCAAAAAGCCGGCGGTGTCGAGGGTAGGCGAGAGCGGCATCACGCCATCTAACCCAACCAACCCGTGCGAAGGCCGGTTCCCAAAGAGACCCTGCACGGCAGACGGACCGCGAATCGAGCCGCCCGTGTCGCTGCCTACTGCAATATCCAACCACTCATACGAACCTATGGATGCGCCCGCGCCCGAGGACGAGGAAGAGGGATCGTTGTAGCCGTCGCCGCGCGGGTTGAAGGGGGAGTGGTAATCCACCCAATCCGCCGTCGCTGTCTCGCCGTTTGCAAACTGCGAAGGCTTTTGGTATCCCACAACCACGGCGCCTGCGTCGAGTAAAGCTTGGATTGCGGGTGCGGTGGAGGTCGCGGGTGGGTAGAGGGCGTACCAGGCTCTGTTGCCGTTGGACTTTTTGACACCGGCGAGGTCGTAGATGTCTTTTACGCCTATGCGGACGCCGGCGAGAGGCTTTTCGGGAGAGCGCGTGGAGAGGGAGTATAGGCGGGAGGGGACGCCGATTGTGAGAGAGGCGGAGGCGGGGACCTGGGCGGAGAGGGTTTGGAAGGTGGTGTCTTGCTTCTGGAGGAGGGATTCGGAGAAGGCGCCTGCGTAGTCTGGGTAGAGGCGGTAGGCTTGGTGGAGAGCGCCTGATGATGTGTCGAGGAAGTACGGGCCCGAGGGGATGTTGCTGGTGGCAGCAGTGCTACCAAACGGCGCGACGATGGACTGGGTCTTGTTCGTGCCGTCGTAGCTTTCCTTTGTGAGGCATGGCGTATCGAGCCCGGCGAGGAAGATTGCGCCGAGGAAGGCGGGCTGCCAGACGTCGTCTTGGGATGTCCAGTTTGCGAAGAGGGATGTGAGGGAGGATTTGGGGAGTGGCTCGGCGACGACTGTGACGGGGGTGAAGCCGAAGGCGCGGGGGAGGGATTTGATGTTGAAGGAGGAGTTTGAGGGATTCCCCTGGGCGAAGGGGGAGATGAAGTAGTAGACATCGTTGAGGATTAGGGATGCGCCGGTGGAGGTTAGGTCGGCGGCGGCGGCGCCGACGAGGGCGAGGAGTGTGAATGCCTTCATTGCTGGGTCATGGAGCCCCTCAGTACTTGCGTTGGGTTCCTAGCCTGGGGCAGCGAGCCTACTGGACGCCGTGGATGCGACATCTCTCTTTATATGAGGGATGTGTGTATTCGGACTCGAGTTACGACGTCCAATCAGGATGACCAATTCCTGGTATCTGAACGATAGTACGGGTAGGTAGGTGGAGGGAGGGATTTTCCTTTTCCTTTGCCCCAGTACAGGTTTATCTCTGGGCTATGTCTATTGGTTGCCTTTTTTTCCATATCAGAACTGGCCTAAGGTAGGTAGCTGGATCCATATTGCTTGGGTTCAGGACCATGGCAAGAAAGAAATAATACTCATTATCCTACCAGGCTTATCTGATTCGGTCGTTGTTTCTATGACGGGGCCACTTTCAAGCTTCGGGGGTTGCGGTTGCTTATCATGGGGACTCCACGAAAGGGACCATGCATGCAAGTCCGCATCGCTAGCTTGCAGAGTCTGAGAGCCGGAACCGGTCTACGGGCTGGGGTATCTTGTCCTTGTCATTGCTTTAGGCCCCCCCGCCCAGATGGGCTGTGGGCATACGAAGTAGAATTTGCAAGTCCTGAGGGTCGTTATCGGGTGGCCTTTTGGGGAACGATGATATCGGTAAATGTTGACTTGGGGTCGGAGGGGCAATTGGGACCTTGTGTTGAGTCTCACAGAGAAGCCCCGGCCGATGTCGGTAGTTGAATCGGTTTCCCGGGGCCGGACTCTAGTCAGCAGAAACAGGAACCGTAGGATGTGCTGACAATTGCAATTGACCAAGATCAATGAATATTACCTGTGTAAGTACACAAATGGGTAAGACACCAAAGAACCGAGGTTAACATTCAACCTCATACTTAGACGTCATCGTCTGGGGGAAAAGGAACCCAAGAGTGAGCTCAACGGGCGCAAAGATTCCCGACACAATGGTTCCCCCACCAAGATAGTCCTCGTGTGTTTCCTGCGGGCCGGTAAACTCTGTCGGAACCGATCCGACACTTAAAGCATACTAAACACACGACAATTGTGCCCAAGTTCCACGCTAAAAATTGTTTCTCAGAAAAAAGTAAGAACACAGCCCGTGCTAGGTTCTGTCTAGCCCCGAGAACAAAAACAGTAGATAAGCCCGACTCTGCCAGGTTATCATCAACGACCCCACGTCGGTACTGAGATTGGAGAACGGCCAAGGCTTATGATGAGTTGGAGTCAATGAAAAACCGCTCTTGGCCGACTAATGCCACTAACAGTTATCTCCCCTCTTCTCTCCGATATCTCCAAGCCGTCTTCCTTGCTTGCCTGCGTCGGCTTTTTTACACATGCAGTCACCAAGTGGGGGGGCTACCAAGGTAATCATCGCAAATGCCGATAGCGATACGGGGACACTTGAAAGTACTCTGCAGTTCCTCAATGCCGGACTTCCCCCCCGAGGGTACTGGGAGGTCCTCACCTATCGTTCAAGAAGTCATTACCCTCCTAAACGATAGAGACAACAGATAAGGCAAGGAATGGCTCTCCAGCGATGTGAGGCGCAGCCAGTCGTAGCCCATGTTGGAAACCCCACGCAACCCAGTTGCCTGGTTTAACTCCCGTTGACAACCGTACTAGCGGAGCAGTCATAGGAAACTGCAGTCAGTTCCCTTACTTGATAATGCACAACAAGAAGACATGGAAAAACTTGAAGTCGTATCGTCATTAAGTAGTCAAACTCATCAACACCTCCCGCACAGCCAACCTTGTTGAGGTGGTCAGCGAGAGACTGCTTGAGTTGCTCGACAACTAGAGGTATCCTAGGATGTGCCCAGCCGGGCCATCAATGCTGTTGAAAAATCATTCGACAATGGTTTTGTCCCAGCGTTTCCTGGAACGTTTTTGACCGTCCCGCGCTCTGCTATGCAACCAAATTCCACGTAAACCGAAAAGAATGCCAATCAAACTGGCACGTCCTCGTCATCGAGTCGACCCTCCACAATTGTCGTATAGCAATGGGCAGCCTTGCCTGCCCACCCGTTGTCGACATCCTCATCTCCCAGCCACCGATATTATAATATCGACAAAGGCGGACTCATACGCACGGCGGCACAGAAGGTATAGACTCGAATCGAAAATCGTCCCAGTAAGCCCAAGCAGCCTCATGACCAGCCCAGAGTCTCGAGCGTGTTGCGCGCATCGGACGCGCTCATGCCGCTGACACCCAGCGAGCGTACCTGGGTGCCCTTACGCAACCGCTGTACGCCCACGGCGACCTTCCACGCCTCTTCTTCATCCAAGACAAACATGTATCGCTTGCCTTCTTGGTCTCGGACTGTTGCGCGCAGCACGTGCAGGCTCTTTGTCTTCCACTCCCCAGTCTGTCCGGACGCAGAACCCATGTTAGTATCTTTGAATTTGGTGTCGCACAAGCCAAGACGACAGCAACTCTTGCAAGCACGCAACATTTCGGTCAGGTAGGCATCGGCTTCGTCACCCGTGAGCATCTTGGTGGCTCCCCGGTCCGCCGTACGGGCTCGCTGATTCGCCATCTTTTGAAACAAACCCGAAGGATGGTTTTGGGAATTCATCGCAGGGGCAGAAGCAGCATTCGAATTCAAGCAGTGCGGGGGGCACCATACCTCGACCAGCTTTAGCGTCCAAGCCTTGACGTCCCACTCGCGCTGCGGAACGCCGCGGACGTCGTCGTCGATGAAGAGACCTTCGGTCGTGATTCGCAGGATGAGCCCATCTGTCACTGTGCCAAACCCCGAAACGAGCTGGCTCGCAGGCGTCTTTGCGAACTGGTTCATGAACAGGTAGACAGCTCTGATGACAATCTTGTCGGGATCCTTGGTCGTGTAAGGGCCTCGCATGCTAGGCGGCGGCGTCGTTCTTGTCGTGGTGGCCGACGGGGCCCACGATGACTCGGAGCCGACAGAAGACGCGGGTCGGTGTCTCGGCTTATCGTATGGTCGGTATGAATATTGGTCTTCGTCAACAGTGCGTGCCGACGGTCGCGGCGGTTGTCTGGCCGTGTTGGAGGATGAAGCTGCGGAAGGCGCCGGCCTTGGAGGCGGCATAGAGCTAGCAGAGGGGGGAGGTCTCGGGGGTGCGGACGATGCGGACGGGGGAGGTCTGGGCGGCGTCGAAGCCGCCGTGGAGGGGGGAGCAGGGGGTCGGCCGTTGGGCCACATACTCGTCTTCTCGCCGGACGAGTAGGCGTAGCTACTTCCTTTGCGTGCCTTTTCGGCCTCCTCTGCCTCCTTGGCCTTGCGTGCAGCTTCCTCTTTTGCTTTGCGAGCTGCCTCCTCCTCGGCCAGCTTCTTGGCCTTTTCTGCGTCTTCGCGATCCTTCTTTGCTTTTTCTGCTTCCTCGCGCTCTCTCTTGGCTTTCCGAAAGGCTTCTAGTTGCGCCTCGACGCGGGCTTTGCGGGCGGCGGCTTCGGCGGCCTCCTTCTTGCGGGCTTCTTCGCGTGCCTTGTCCTCCTTCTCCTTGTTGGCCTTGAGTTCCCGCTCCTTTGCTTCCTTCGCTTCGCGTTCTCTGGCAGCTTTGGCTTCCTCTTCGGCCCTTTCCTTTTCCCGCTGTAGCTTCTCTCTTTCCTGACGTTCCTTTTCAAGTTTCTGTTTCAAGTCTTCTTTTTCGCGTATCTCTTGTTCAAGCTTCTCTCGTCTTTCACGGTCCTCCTTCTCCCTCCTCGCTCGTTCTCGAGCTTCTCTTTCGCGGAACTCCTTCAGCTTCCGCGCCATCTCTGCTTTGCGACGCTCCTCGTCTTCCTTTGCCTTGCGCTCCTGTTCGCGCTTCTTCGTCTCCTCCCGTGCCTTCTCCCAGGTGTTTGTTTTCGGCGGATCAGGTTGTTTTGGTTTTGGTGGGGAAGGAGGAGGAGGATCTGGTTTTCGAGGTTCAGGCTCTGGCTCAGGTTCAGTTTCAGGTTCCTGAGGGGGTGGAGGCTGAGGTCGTTCTTGCCATTGAGACCTAGGACCGCCGTTTCCCGCGCCGTGGTTGGGCGGCGGGCTGTTCGGGGGAGGGCCGTTGTATTGATTGCCGTGAGGCGGCGGAGGCGGCGGTGGGCCGGCATTGGCGTAGCTGTTGTTGAAGTTGGCGCCTGAGCCGTAGCCACCGGGGCCGGGGCGGTAGCCAGTCGAGCCGTTATTTGGAGGAGCGCCCTGGTTTTGCGACTTTCCCCATGCCCAGGCTCCCACGCCGACGGCTATGACAAGCAGGGCCATACCCATGTTTCCCATACCCTGATATGTAAACCACCATGCCTTGAAGGCCGGCGCCATGCTCTGGAACATGACGACCATGACGAGGGCGCATGCGAAGCCAGCGGCGAAGCTAGGGCCTTGGGGCGCCAGAGAGGGTAGGTAGATGAATCCGCCGCCCTTGTCGCGCTGGGGAATGACGAATATGTCATAATTGCCTGGGCCCAGGCCACTGCCAGGAGGCGGAGAGCCAGCAGTGGTTTTGGGTGCCTCGCCATGAGGCGGAGGCGGGGGAGGGGCGCTCATGTTGAGCGGACCTCACCTCTTGGCGGAGAGTGGTGATTCTGGCAGCAAAGGCCTAGTGAGGTTGTTGAACTAGAGCCTTGAAGCTCTTGTGGAGACTTGGGGTCTCGGTCGAGGGTGATGAAGCAAGCAGAAGTCTAGTGGTATCTCAGGAGGTCCATTGACGGTCGTTAAATCGTGAAGCGTCTGCACAGAAGCCATGAGCATTTTCTTCTTCTTTGGGTAGCAGCAAAGCTGTGTGCCATCTGATAGCTGGAAGGCAGGAAGTGGCGGTGGAATGACCCGCAGCAATGGGAAGGAAGAGAATATGGCAGTGTGTAATAAATTACTCACAAGCAACAATGCAGAAAAACAAACTCCGGAAGCCAAGAGGGAAAAAGACGGGCAAAGACCAAGACGTCAAAGCGAGAGAGGGGTCGGATCCGGTCTTTGAGAGGTATTTGTCGTCGATGCTTGTTGGTGCCTGGGCCGAATGAATCGTGTTCTTCCCGCTCCGGCCTTGCGCTTTTTTGCAGGTGGCGGGTGCTTGGTGGTTGAAATTGTGTCCGATCGCGGGGAAGAGGGCTGAGACAAGAAAAATATTCTTGTTATTCTGGAACTTGCCCTGCTGGTTAGTAAGGCAAATATGGAAGGAATAGAGCTGTCTGGTGACACGGCGCCGTTCCTGGTGGAGGTCGGGTTTGGTGGTGGTGTTGAGGGAAAATGTGACGGGGAAGGAGACGAGAAGGGGCCAGGAATTCTTTTGTGTTTACTTTGGGAATTTCTCATGGGCGACCGGGTGTGGAGAGGTAGCGGCGGTGGTGGTGGTGCCGTGGTTGTACTTACTGGTGGTGCTGCTGGTGGTGGGATTGGGGGGGAAGCAAAAGTTGGGGGTGTGTGACTGAGCGCTAGTGGCTAGCAGTACGTACCGACGTCCTTTGAGGTACCTCTGTGCGCTGGGATGCACTGAGAGAACAAGAAGGAACCCTTTTTATTGCTTCAAGAGACCCACCTAAACACACACTGACCTCTTAGCGAATGGAAGGAATGGTGACATGTTGACAGCTGCAAATTGATCCAGAGGGAGGCACCCGGACACTTAGACCCGATACCGAATGGCAGGTGCTGCCGCCAGCTGGACTACCTACCTTGCCCAAGCTGGAGGGATTATGTATCTTTTGTCTCAGCGTAGTAGGTGTCCGTCTCATGCTCTCTCCATTCCAACCCCATCTCCTCGATTCTCTTGTTCTCTGCTTTCAGTTCGCTAGCTTCAAACCTTTTGTTCTTTACCCGTTGCACCTGCATGTGGCCGCCTGGGGTACCTAATGTCCTTGGCCGGACTGGAATGCCAACTGAGCGTTCGTCAGGAAAAGACTGCCATCCTAGCTTCCACCTTATGGCTAAGAGGATGTTCCTTGCAACCAACGGGACCCTGAAAAATAAGACAAAAAAAATCCAAACCACCGGATGACCAAGCTCCAGCCACCGCTTCCAGAGTCCCAATTCGTGGCAGACTCTGCGATAAGTGTTTTTCTTCTGCAAGAGAGGTCCAGACGCTCCCTACTATTCTCTACGAGGTGGTTTCTCGTTTTCCTCTTCCGATCATCAACATACCTCTCGTCGGAAGAATATTAGCCAACCAAAGTACGGCAAACAATCTCCGTCCTCTCAATGCCAACAGATCATCATAATAAAGCACCGTTGCCGAGCCCACCAAGACCCTCTTCGCCCACCTCGATTGAGCAAACCGCATACGATTCAGACCCTCCTCCCCTCTTCCAACGGTCCAATCCCAAGAATTCACTCAATCTCCTGCCTATGACAGGCTATCCGCCGAGTCGCCTGCGGTCTGTCTGAGCGGTCAATCACTGGGGATCACTGGGGGAAAGGTCCACCTGGGATGCCATGACAGCGAATCGCGGGTCTCGAGGCTATTTCCCCCGGTAGGCGGCAGGCCATCCTCGGCGCCAGCACATCCACTCTGGTTGTGAGAGGGCGGTGCGGAAGAGGACGGAAGAGAACAAGAAGGGGGGAAAAGAGAAGAGAGCCATCATCGACGGAGTCCACACGACCTCCGCCAGTCCCGTGCCGAGCACCGTTGCAATCACCTCGACATTCATCTTCTTGCTCTCGTCCAGCTCACTGGGTCTCCCTTGGGTCGATTAGGTTCAGCCCTCGATGGGCTTGAATACGACGGATGATCGGGCGAGCACTGCGATTGCGACTGCAACATTGCAATGAGCCAGGCTGGGCAAGCAGGGCACCGTTGGGCGCCAATTGTGACACTGCGGCGTCATGTCATCTCAACGGTCGTTGTGGAGCAAGGTGCTTCTGTCTCGACTCTGCTGCCTCTTTGTCGTTTTTTTCTCTTTCACACATTTTTAAACTTTTCCCCTCCTGGAAACGGTCCTCAAGATGGTTGCCCAGCAACCGCGGGAAGTTCCTTGCACCGTGTGCGGTGTGCCCCATCCCGGCGCTCGGGTGACGTATCAAATGTCACCAAGTGGGCGCGGCCACAACGTGCCACTCACTCACTGTGCCACACTAAACGTCTTTCTGCCGGCCGGTAACCTCTGGCTTTATGGTTACAGATACTCCGTAACTTTACGAAGTACACGACGTCCAGGCAGTCAAGGTTCAACTCGAGTCGTGAGAAGTGGCACCCAAGCTGACGATGGCTTCACTTCAGATTGTTCATGCGACGGGTTTTATATCGCCCCTCCCCAGTCCCGTCGCCCAATTACATGTGCTTCACATTTCTTTCCCTGCAACGAGGCGAAAACGGGAGAACTCAGGGCGATGTGACGGCAACTGCATGCGACCAACCCAAGGCTCCATAACGGCAGGGGGGTCCCCGTCCGTAAGCAACCGCCGTCTGCATGTGCATGAGGAACGGTCCGGCGCGAGGGAAACACCGTCGCGTCCCTACTCCAACTCCCGACTCCCGAGTCCTTCCCATTGCTGATTGTTTTGAACACAACGTGGCTACTGTAGTAAGGCTGGCGATATAGGTCAGCATCCGAGGCAGCCTATGGTCGGTCTGCCATGCTATCTTGGCCCAACGAGAATCCTACATGAAAGCGTGAGGGCATCATCCACGGCCAGAAGCGCCTCTCTTGCAACCGCATGTTGAAGCTCTTTGAAATCAATTGGTTCGTCCTTACCATTGCAACATGAACGACTTCAATCTAGCACCAGAGCTGCGCAATAGAGCCACCGAACCTGTAGGAAATGACGATAGGTAATTGGGCGACAGGCAGGCTTACAATAATCGTGATCAAGGGCGCGTGCCGTCTTCCAAGCGGGTAACTGGCCCATCGGATCTTCTCAGACGAGATTCTTCTTGTCTACTCAGCCAAAGGGGCTCTGTCCGAGTAAAAGTCTCGCCTCAATGAGGCTCGGCTAGGCGCGGGATGACAGTCTCTTGGCCTCATGTGAAAGATGATCCAACTTGGTGCCACGCAGCTTGCTGTTCGCCTCAAAAGTAGCAAAGGCGCTCCCTGGAAGAAGACCACCATCGACCAAGGTAAAGTACTCCCAACAGCGTCCCGCACGCCCAATTCGGGTAACAACGATTGTTCGTACTCCAAGGTATCCTTACGTATTGGCGAAGTCAGAGGTATCGCCAACCTCTCAACGGAGCCCGCTACCCCGTTGCTACGACTACAGGGCTGCTCACCTTGAATCCCGATTCCGTCGCACGAGGATGACGACGTGTCTGGAGCGCGGTCTTGAAGCCCAATGGTCCGGATCTTCGACCAAGGCCAGTCTACTAGTGTGCACCGCGTCAATGAGTATGACTGCTTCTGTCTAGAAGTCCAATTTGCGAATATGTACTTACCCCCGTTGAGGCAAGGCTGGCAAACAACCTCCAAGGGCAACAAAACGTTCGTTCTTGTTCAAGTACAAAATCGTGTTGTACTCGCTTTCAACGTACAACGCAGCCATGAACGAATAGAGTACCAATCTGGATATAAGTAGGTCTCAAGTCAAAACTACCACAGGTAAGATACACTGGTATTTCCAATCTCAACTTGAATAAAAAAGTAAAGCGAGACCCAGAGAAAAAAACGAGTAGGGTCGCTATTGTTGCAAAGTTATGTAAAAATGTGATAAAAAAAAAGCCCCCCCATCGTACTCGCGTACGTAACGTCGTTGTACTGTCAAGGCAAAGGAATTCAATTCCACTCCCGGCACACAGGGTAGCAAGAACTTTCATCGACGAGCCCGCGCAAGCAACAAGACGGAACCAAACTCCAGGCACCACGCAAAAGAATCCAATACCCGCCCGCCAGCCCAAAGAAACCAAACCACGACACCGAGGACAGCGACCACGGACCGAGCAGCGAATCCACCCGCAACAACCAACGGCGATGATGCTGCTGTTGTTGCTGTAGACCGAGGCACCGTACCTGTCACTACAACCTCACCCTCACCCTCCTCCCCCGGCGTCCCGCGTCAAAACTTCTTGATACGCTTCTTGGCGACATCAATCTTACCCCCAACCCGATCAGCATCCTCATTCAACCGGTCCAGCATCTTGGTCTGCTCCGTCACCTCCTCATTGATCTGCAGCCCAATCTCCTTTTGCCGCCGCACAATCGCCGCCAGGGTATTCACCTGCTCGTCCTGCTCGCTCATCATCTGCCGCTGCAGTTGCACGACCCCATTATTATCCAGCTCCCGCGTCCGCTCCGTCTCCGGCAGCGGGGCGCCCAGGACCCGTCCGCCCGTCCTCGCCCCACCGCCGCTTCTGCCGAGTAGTGCCGCTTTATCACCCGCCGAGGCCCACCCTTCCCGTCCGCCCGGTCCGCCGCCGCCGTTCCTGCTGTTTCCTTGCGCCATGCTGTTGCTGAGCTTGTCTAGCCCCTCCCTTTCAACGCGAGCGGAGGAGAGCAGGTCCCTTCTGCGTCGTAATTCGCCGTCTCCGAGTCGTCCGCCCTCTCGCATGGCCCTCAGTCCGTCCGTCAGGGTGCTCACCAGCGTACCAGCCTTCACCAGCGCCTTCTTGGCAGCGGCCCCGGCCTCGGCGGCAGCAGAGGTGTTATTGCTATCCACGGCGCCATCCCGCCTCGCAAGCTGGTTCCGCGCGTCGTGCAGACAGCTCTTCATCTCGCGGTGCAGATCGAGCCATGTCGTCGGGTCGGCCGCACCGGCACGACCGCTGGTGATGAGGCCGTGGGCGCTGGCGGCCGAGTTCCCCGTGCTGCCTACGCCGGTACTGGGGAGGTTGAGAAAGGTGCGCCAGGCCGAGGTGTCGCGCCAGCGGCGATCGGGAGACTCTGCGATGGCGCGGAGGTAGGCTTCAAGACCTTTGCGACGCTGTTCTGTGAGGTCTGGGGAGGAGACTGTGGATTTGAACCAGGATTTGGAGGGGAGGGGGTTGGGGGGCGCGGCGCCGACGAGAGAGGTGAGGGTTTGGTGGAGGGTTGCAAAGTCGGAGTAGCGCTTTTGGACGACAAAGGATTTGAGGGGGAGGCGGAGGGTGATGTTGTAGAGGGTGTAGGGTTTCGATTCGCCAGTCGAGAGGATGGTTGAGGGAATGGAAATTTCGGCGGGAGGCGCCATTGTTGGAAGGTTGTTGTGGTCTGATCGAGGCTTGGGAATGTGTAGAGAGGAGAGTTTTTTCCCCTTGGGTATTGGCGATGAGCGGGGGATGGGACTGTTTGTCGGGTTTGGACGAGGCGGGAGGAAGGCTCGGACGGGCTGAGTAGTGTGTGTCGTAGCTCTCCTCGTTGATGGCGGATTGGAGAGATGGGAGGGAATCGATGCTGGGTTGTTTGGTGTTTTGCTTGCTCTTCCCGCCCAAGGTTGTCTCTTGGAGCAGTTGGCGAGATGACGTTGAGGAAATGGAATGGCTAGCGAAATAACAAAAGGCAGCCGTCGTACGGGTCAAGTAATATTTCGTGTTTGGTGATCGGAATGATGGCCTTGGTCAGTTGTTTGCGTCAGGTCCAAAAAAGGTTTCGGGGGAATGTCTGAGGTTCTTGTCTCTCCTTTCGTTCGTCCGTCTAGGTAGAGGGAAAGAGACGGGAGTGTGAGAGAGAGAGCGGTCACCTCAGGTTTCCAGAGTCAATGTAACAAACTTGGTACCTTGCCGTGCAGGTCCGCTTGTGCAGTACCTCAGCGCCCCGTAGACCTGGGCTGCTACTTCGAGGTCCCCTGTCACCTCTAGCTTCCCTAACGCGGCCGCCTGCCTGGGCTTAGGTAGCACTTTTGGGCACTGGGGATGGCCATGACCGTCGCTGGTCGTGTGCCGCTAACTGCTTGAAAGTTGACGCCTGTGGCGCATTGCGTGGAACCACTAAATTGGGGCGGCGGCAGGAATGACCGCATTTCTGGGACATGCTCGGCTGGGCACCGTGGCACCTCGCGTTCCCAGGCACCTGCCCAGTCTCTCAGGCCAGGAACTGGGGCAATGCTGACAACCCAAGTCAAGGCAGATCCAATTCACCACACGGTCGATCAAAATAGCCAATAAGGGTACCAGGTATTGTAATGATCATTTTGTCAATATAACGTGTTGAGGAAAATGTCTCTCGGTAGTCGATCAATGCACACTTGGAGAGATCCGACTTTGAAAGTAAACACAACCCAGGGTACAAAATATCCCGTTACTCTACATACACAACTCTCATACTACAGACTTATGTTTTGTGAAGAGTGTCTAGTTCGAGTCTCACCCACAATATCACTCTGTGGTAAAAACTCGGTGCAACACATTGTCCATGTAGGATTTGGACCACGCCCAAATTAAACAGGTCGGCCAGAGTGGAATGCGGTTGTGGAAGCATGGCTCAAGCCCTCATACTCTCCTCGTCTCACTCGCAAAAACTGACTCGAAGTCCCCAGACAAAACGTTTGGATTCTATCATGACTGCTCATGTGGGACGGGACTGCCGCAAGCTCTGGCCGACTTCTGTCTCGACAGTCCGAGGGCCGCTCAGCCTCATCGCCAGTATACTGATTATTACGTGCCGCAGGGTATTTGTACTAGCGCCAAACCCATGTGCTTTTACCACTCAACCCCCCTAACGCAACCTCCCATCCAACAATACAACTTCCCCCATCTGTGTCATCGTCGCCCTGCCTCGAAGCCTCCCGATTTAGAAGGTCTCCTGATCGTCGACAGCCTCGCCCTCGGCCGGGATCTCGAATCCCTCCTCCGTCGAGTACAGAATGGTCTGGATCTGCTTGACGAGGCCGTCCTCCTGCTTCTCAAGCTCGGGGTCCTCCTCCACAGCCTGCTGCACCAGAAGCTCGATATCACGGAGCTTGCTGAAGTAGAAATCACGCTCGCGCTCGAGGCCAACAACCGTCTCCTTGAGGGTGGCGTTCTCCTGCTGCAGGGCAGCTGAGCCGGGGCCTGCTGCCTTGGGGACGCGCGCACCGCCGAGAGGTGTGGTGCCACCCCGTCTGGCAGCAGCAGCACCGGTACCGGACGCGGTACGGGGGGCGGAGCCACCGCCAGAGGGCACGGGAGCGCCCTTCCGCCGGGAGACTGCGTCGTACTCTTGGTCGGGGAAGTTCAGGTCCCAGAACTTCTTAGTCCATTGAAGGAACTCGAGGTTGTCCTGCATCTTGCACTTGACCAACGCTTCGACGGGAATGGGCTTGTCGACTTGGTGCTTATGGAAGCAGTCTGTTGAGGTAGGATCTCGTCAGCCTTGACTGTTCGTTCCGTATTTGTCTTCCCCATACAGATGGGACGGAGGTGGACATCGAGATGGAACGACGTGGGATGGCGCAAACTTACTCTGCAGCACCTTGAAATTCTGAATGTACGCATATTCGCTGTTGACGTTGAACTTGACTCGAGACATGGGGATATCCATGAAGATGCTGTCAAACACCTGGCAGAGAGCTGCACTGCAGATTGAGACCAAACATTAGCAACCACCATCATCAAAATCATCATGGGTCCCACAATAAACACATGGCGGGGGAGGGGTATCCGATCAGCAACGTACCCGGTACCGCATTGCTCGACCTTTGTGATGTTGAGGGAGAGAAGCTGGTTCAGCCACTGGATGAGTTCTTGTCTAGAAAGTCCATGCCGTGTTAGCGAGGGGTTGCGATGCGCAAACGGCTGAGATGCTGCCGCGCGAAGCACCACGATGGAAGGGGATGGAAGCTTGCCCACCTGGATTCGCCCATTTTGTATGTGTGTGTTTGCCTCTGCGGCTGGGACTGTGTTGACAATCGGGAAACGCGCTCGGAATGTGGAAAGGAAATTCGTTAACGACGCTCGAGAGAAGCAGAGACGCGGTTGATGGTGGTGTTGGTGGTGGTTGAGAGGTCGAGAAGGAGGACGTGTGGAAAGTAGTAAGGTGCCGAGATTGGTTAGGACCAAAAATGACAAGTTGTAGAGCAACAGGGCAGAAATTAAATCTCGTTGCTTTGTCGGCGCCCGGCGTGAAGGCTGCCAAAATTGTTGCCAATAAAATGGTCGCCCAATCAACCATGGTGGGGTCTATCGGGAGTTGCCCCTGCCCCTAAAAGCTGATGACAAACACCGTCACGTGCGACTGATCAGTCGGGTGAGTACGTATCTTTTCGTTCCTTCCGTCTGATCAGCCAAAGGTCCAAGGGCCCCATATAGGCCCAATTGGCAATAGTGTCCCGTCTGACCGCCTGCGACAGGGGGTGGTCTATGAAGACGGCAGAAAAAGTTTAGCTCCACCGTCCGTCCAGAAAAATTTCTGGCCTGGGAACACTGCACGAGTGTGAAGACAGGCGCGTGTGTATGTGAGCTTTACAATACCCCGCGGTTCCGATAATTGTCTCTCTCAACAACCATTCCTCCACTCAACATGGCGCCTTCTCACAAGCGCAAGCAGATCGACGACGATTTCGTCCACACCATCTCCGACAATGACGAGGAAATTGTCGAGGAGGAGGCCGTGGCACCGCCGCCCAAGAAGAAGGTGAAGGCCACTAAGAAGTCGAAAAAGGCCGCTGCCAGAGAAGAGTCGCCAGAACAAGAAGTGGCCGAGGGTGTCTGGGGCCAAAAGGACGAAGACGATGGTGCTATGGACTCGGACTTTGAGTTTGCGCAAGATAATGCCATCGAATTCGGCGATGCGGAACTCGAGGGTTGGGGCTTTGAAGGCGCAAAGAAGTCCATGAACAGCAACGCATCTCTAGGCGTCGACCTGGAAGAAATCATTCGCAGAAGACGGGCAAAGAAGGGCGGCGAGGAGAAGTCGAAGGAAGATAAAGAGGAGGCTGCGGCGGACGCCGAGGTGGACAACGACATGGACGTGGATATCGACCTCGACGACGACGAAGATGGAGTTTTGGCCGACGATGCCTTTGGTATGGGTGTGGACCCTGGTGCCGAGGACTCTGAAGCCGAAAACAACGAAGGATCCGACGCAGAAGACGCAGAGGACGCCGAAGATGATGACGACGCAGCAGCATCCGACAACGACTCCGTTGCGACACCCGTGGATCACCCCGACGACCGTGGTTCAGACGATGAAGAGGAGGAAGATGCAGAGGAACAAGCAAAGCGTGACGCTTTCTTCGCCCCAGAGGAGCCTGCCAAGCCCGGCAAGAAGGATACGGCATCATCATTCCAGGCCATGTCCCTTTCGCGTCCTCTCCTGAGAGGCCTTGCCGCTGTTGGCTTCTCCAAGCCTACGCCCATTCAAGCCAAGACTGTGCCCATCGCTTTGATGGGCAAGGATGTTGTCGGTGGTGCAGTCACTGGTTCAGGAAAGACGGCCGCCTTTGTGGTCCCCATTCTTGAACGTCTCCTGTACCGGCCCAAGAAGGTTCCTACTAGTCGTGTCGTCATCCTCACCCCTACCCGTGAATTAGCTATCCAGTGTCACGCTGTTGCCACCAAGCTTGCCGCATATACCGACATCAAGTTCACTCTTGCCGTCGGTGGTCTGAGTCTCAAGGCTCAGGAAGTCGAGCTGAGGCTGAGGCCAGACGTCATCATCGCCACACCCGGTCGTTTCATCGACCACATGAGGAACTCTGCCAGCTTCAATGTCGATACCGTGGAGATTCTCGTTCTCGACGAAGCTGATCGTATGCTCGAGGATGGTTTCGCCGACGAGTTGAACGAGATTCTGACGACACTGCCCAAGTCAAGACAGACGATGCTGTTCTCCGCGACCATGACATCTTCCGTCGACAGGCTGGTGCGCGTGGGTATGAACAAGCCCGCCAGAGTCATGGTGGACTCGCAAAAGAACAAGACCGTCACCACCTTGGTACAGGAGTTTGTCCGCTTGCGGCCCGGTCGCGAGGAGAAGCGTATGGGCTATCTCGTTCACATCTGCAAGACGATGCACACCGAGCGTGTCATCATTTTCTTCCGTCAAAAGAAGGATGCTCACCGAGCGAGAATCATCTTTGGACTGTTTGGCTTGTCTTGCGCAGAGCTTCACGGTAGCATGAACCAGGCTCAGGTGAGTTCTGATGAGTCCTTGAGTTGAAAATAATCGCTAACCAAATTTGCAGAGAATTGCCAGCGTTGAAAACTTCCGTGATGGCAAGGTCAACTACCTCTTGGCGACGGATCTTGCGTCCCGTGGTCTCGATATCAAGGGCGTCGACACAGTCATTAACTACGAAGCACCCCAAAACATTGAGATTTACGTGCACAGAGTCGGTCGTACCGCCCGTGCCGGCCGCACCGGTGTGGCCATCACGCTGGCGGCGGAGCCGGATCGCAAGGTCGTCAAGGCGGCGGTCAAGGCCGGCAAGGCCAACGGCGCCAAGATCCTGAGTCGCATCATCGAGCCGACAGAGGCGGACAAGTGGCAGGACCAGGTAGACGAGATGGAGGACGAGATTGACGAGATTATGGTGGAGGAGAAGCAGGAGAAGCAGTTCCAGCAGGCCGAGATGCAGCTCAAGAAGGGCGAGAATATTATGCAGCACGAGGCCGAGATCAAGGCGCGGCCGAAGCGGACGTGGTTCGAGACGGAGGAGGACAAGAAGAAGGCCAAGATTGCGGGGCGAGAGGAGCTCAACGGGCCCAAGAATGGCAAGAAGCCGAAGCTGAGCAACAAGGACAAGAAGAAGCTCGACGCCAAGGAGATGAGGAGCGGGGATAAGGTGTGGAAGAAGGGCAGGGCGGAGCGTGACGGGCAGGGTGCCGTGTTGAACCTGAAGAAGCAGCCCAAGAAGAAGAATGTGCCGGCCAAGGGGAGGACCAGGGCGAAGCTGGCTCGCCAGAAGCGGTGATTTTGAATGTTGCCCCGGTGTCCAAAAGTCTAGACTACAATACCATGTTTCAATACCTTTTCATATCTTGACACATTGTTCATATCAAGGTTTTGATGGGTTCTGAATGGGAGTGAACTCTGATCTAGCATACTTATTGATATCTTTAGCCTACTCGCATACCCTAGATACCTATCCGTAAGTACCTATCTTGCGAATATGTACTCCGTAGAGCTGCCATCTATGTCTGTGCTTTCTATTGGGGGCCAAGCGACGTTGCGACTGTCCCATGTCATCCCCGGCCGATCATCAAAGGTGCACCTGCCATTACTACGGGGTACAAGCTGTATTTGAATGCATGCTAGCAGCACATGCTAGCAAGGTAGAAGCTATGCTGAGAAGACCTTACAACGGCCTGGACATATGCAGCTCGATATGCGAATGACGTAATGGCCGTTTCGCTCCGGAGCACGTCCCCCGGGCCCCAGCTGCAGCAGCAGCGCAGTCAGCTCAGCGACAGAAGAGGAGCCTTGTGCCTTGGAAGGCTAAAGCTGGCTGGAACCCTCCACTGTGAGTGTGAGATGCATGTGGGATGCCTTAGCTCAGAGGAGAGAGCTTTTAACCTTGCTTATTTCCGCATAAATCGCTTCCATTTCTGACACTTTGTCGCATCTGCCCCTCGAGCCCCAAGCAAACCCGCACGGCACCGCGGCATCTACCTACGCTTACCTTAATTCAACTTAGCTTGGCTTTCCGAGACCTTGCCCTCCCGCAACGTCACGAGCTCACCCTCTCCTCTACATCACCGCGTGCTCCCGCTCCCTTCCACCTCAAACCAGTTCGCACTAGTTTTCACAACCACCCAGAGTCGCGCGAGATCATGTGCTTCCATCACCCTCTGTCGTCCCTTCATCAGCTGTAGAGCGTGGGGGTCAGAAGACGCTGTCGCCTGCCAGCCTCGTAACATCGTGCACCCGTCGCCTTACTTCATTCGCCTCAATTTCTTTCACGAGCTTATTCGAACTTCTCACACTTCTCAAGCTCGCCTCCCTCCATAACATCCAAAACGTAGCGACGTCCCACGCACCGCTGCTTCTTGTCTTTGGACCTTCTGTCCAAGGCACAAACTACGAACAAGCTGGCTCCTTTCGGGCGATTTGGTCCGCCGCGTCCGCATCCTCATAACCGCACGAGTCTCCTTCGATACCTGTTCCCACGAAGCGTACGGGATCGATACCGCGAGCGCGTTCTCAACTTTCGTCTCGATACCCTTCCGCAGCTCAAACATCGATTTCAGTCGAGCATCTACCGATACATCCTCGAGCGCCAGCGCAAGCGAAACGAGAAGTCGAGGCTCGTCGACGTCTTTGCGCGTCACAGTCGCCGGCTGCTCCTGGGTCCGCCCTCGGTCAGGTCAAAGCGGCATGCGAGGGAGCGAGGAGGTACTACAGGCAAGAAGATGCCAACTTTCTCGGACTACACGACCACATATGGCGGAGGCGGAGGCGGAGGCGGAGGTGCTGGAGGCGTCAACAATGGCAGTAATGGCTATGCGTATGGCTCGGCAGAAGATCCGCCCACCCCAGGCGAGAGAGGGTTCCGGCGGAAATGGCTGGCTGCGAAGGCGGGGAGCATGTACCGAGCCGCTGCGGTAGGAGTCAACGAGATCAGGGAGGGCTATGCGCAAACGCGGGTACGGCCTTTGGAGCCGGGGGAAGGTATGCCAAGGACAACAATCCCGGGATCGTTCCCCGACGTCGCCATCACTGTCCAGGGAGACGATCAGATGGTCATCTTTCCATCCTACGCAAAGCGGCATGTTAAGCAGGATTGGACGGCGGAATACCAACAGCATTCCGAGGAAGAGCCGGGCAGCGCCAGGGACCAAGAGTTTTGGAGGAAAGAGTGGGAGCGTAATGAAGACGAGAAAGCCATCGTGGACATCGACGTCAGGGGATGGGTATACTCCCCGCATAAAGGACCAATCACTCGGCGCAACCGTATTCTCATCGGCCTTGCGCGCCAGCTAAGCGGCATCCCAGCTCCCAGACAGGATGCTCCCGCACCGGATAACCTCTCTGCGTTACACCAATCACACGAGGAACGACGAGAGCAAGAAAAGATTGCGAAAGAAGCAGCAGAAATCGAGAAGAGAGGCCAAGAAGAGCGACGCGTAGCATATCAGGGTGGTTTTAGCGAAGCGCCAAAGGACGGATCCGACGATGATGCGAATAGTATATACCGGGCGAGATCGAGGTCACGAAGTGGCACACAAACGCCAATGACAGCTCCTGGTTCTCCCAAACTGCCACCGACGAGGACAAACACTACGGGGAATGATTTAACAGATGCCGAGCTGTCTGTTGCGAATGCCAACCTCATGGCAAGAATAGCGCCGTTCATGACTACGCCTCTGGTCCAGCTGCCCATCACTGTCTTCTTCTACAATGACGAGAAGTCAGCGTCCCGGACTGTGCAGACCAACGACGCGGGCCACTTTATCCTGCGCGCCGCTTTGGAATTTGTCCCTACGCACGTCCGAGTTCTCGCTAATGAGGACTTGTCGGCAACTCAGGAAGTCAAGATCATCGAACCGAAGGGCGTCAGTTTGATCAGTGACATTGACGACACGATTAAGCGATCCAACATATCGGGTGGCGCAAAGGAGATCTTCCGCAACACCTTTGTCCGTGAGCTCAAAGACTTAACGGTTGAAGGTGTTCGGGAATGGTACACCGAGCTGCACACCATGGGGGTCAGCATGCACTACTGCTCGAACAGTCCCTGGCAACTATTCCCGGTGCTTGCCAGTTATTTCATGATAGCTGGCTTGCCCCCTGGATCGCTTCATCTGAAGCAATACAGTGGCATGCTCCAGGGTATATTTGAGCCCGTGGCAGAGAGGAAGAAGAGCACTCTCACCAGGCTCATGCACGACTTCCCCGAACGCAGGTTTCTCCTAGTCGGTGACAGCGGCGAGGCAGATTTGGAGGTTTACACAGAGCTGGTGGAAGCCCACCCAGGACGGATCATCGCCATCTTTATCCGCGACGTCACAACGCCGGAGCAAGCCGGGTACTTTGATACATCTTTTGAGACCAGTAGCGCACGTCAGCGAGGCTCAATGTCCAAGGCTACCGACCACAGCGATGCTCCACCGAATCGTCCGGGGCTTCCTCCACGCGGCGAGGCGAAGACGGTCGGGCCTGTCATGGGCGATCTCATCGACTTTTCCGATGAACCTGAAGAGACCACGTTGAACGACGCCGCTGCACTGGCTCAGATCCAGGCCAGACCCAAGCCACATTCAAGCGCCACCGATCTTGCTATTAGCCGCAAGCCCCCTCCACCACGACCCAACAAGCCAGCTGCGCTTCGCGGCGCTCCGTCTGATACGAATGTGCCAACGATCAAGGTCAACAGCATGGGTGCTACGCCTCCTCCGATGCCGAGTACTCGCAAGCCGTCCGCGGACCGGGGCAATCCTCATCCTCTGTCGCAAATGCACAATTCGTCTCAGCAGACAATTGGAAGCAACAGGAGCCTGCCGAGTACGGCCAAGATACCAGCGTCCACGTCGCAAAACGACACAAGTAAGATGAGCAAAGTTGCACCAGCGCCTCCACCGCCTCGCCGTCGGGGCACCCCTTCCACTTCCCGCAGTTTAAGTCCCCGGAGCGTCGATAACCGGCGGAGACTCTCGGGCAACGAAGACATCGATTTTGAAGCCCTCCCACCGCCGTCCGCGGCTTCCCGGCCACAGCAGGTTCAGCCGCCGACATTTGTAAGGGCGCAGACGGCCAGTCTCAGGTCCGGATCCACATCTCCAACATACGGCAGTCCGAATCTGGGACCGACAGCGGCGGCTCCAAATAGGAAGCACGAGCTGTGGATGCGTCGACTGCAGCGAGCCCAGGAGATTTTGGAGTCGCACGGGGTAGCGCTGTACACCTGGCGAAGGGGCGACGACGTAGTAGCCGAGGCTGTGGGGATGGTCAAGGAGGAGCTGAAAAGGGTTGGGCTCAACGGGGAGAAGGATGCGAAGACGGAGGGAAAGAGGTTTGAGAGGCAGATTAGGAGGGAGCAGTCGCAGCAACAGCAGCATCAACAACAACGGCCACAGCAGCAAGGGGCGTTTCAGCCAGGGTCATATCAGCAAAGGCGATGATCGTCTAGAGTTTCTTTGGACGGCATTGGAATAACCGCGAGAGGCGTGCTTGGGGGAAAGCGACAAGCCGAAAGGGAGGGGAACGGGGAAACGGAATAATAAAGGCGCTGGGTGGGTGGTTGATTCAAGTAAATAGTTTTTACAATTAAATCTGAAAATATTTCCAAACCACGCGGTTTGATTGTTCCGAGATGTTCGGCATGATGATCAACGACTCACGTTCAGTTCTTCCGAGCATGATGATGAGCAAGGAGACATGGTCTTTGGGAGACATGGTCTTTGGGAGACATGGTCTTTGGGAGGCACGGACTAAGGAAATGGTTGATGGGAAGCGTCATGAAGAAGAACACATGGCATGTGTGGCGCCCACAAGGTTCTTCTCCCCTCCCACGAGGTTAGTACCAGAACGGGCACGCAAATAGTTCGGATAGCTGTCCCGAGTTATTGGACCGCGAGGAGGAGGGTGGAGTGTTGACTGAATCCACTAGAGGCAGTTTGAAGAATATTACCGGTATGGTTGTGCTTCAGAGTTTCTGCACGTCCCCCTCTGTCTTTTTTTGAGATAGATGAACGGGACAAGTTAGCCACTACTTCCCACGAGTCCCGGAGTCTGAGGCCTGACTTACTCAGCTGAGTCGACGGCTTCTTGGGGGGCTCATCCCTGGCTGAGGTGAGTAGTCTCGGATGCGATGGAGGTCCGTGTGGGATAAAAGTCTTGCATTAAGAACATCAGACGCCGTTTAGATTGGAACTTGTGGCAGAGCATTCCATGGTATTGGGATTAATAGGGGCTGTAGATGATTGGTGGGTTTGGTATAAGCTTTTTTTGAGTTGATTATTAACCCGCTCTCTCATAGTACTACCTCATCCAGATGGTAGGTCCCACGGGTTGTGGTTGTCACGTTTGCGTACTTAGACTACGGAGTAGGCACCTTTGTTCCTGTCTATCTGACTGCCAGAAGAAAGCTTAATGCGCACAGGTTTCAGACAACTGGGGACGTGTACCTTACGTGAAGCGCGCCATCGTTCTTGCATAGATTTTCTATCCTTGTGAGGAACGTGCTTCTGTTTAGGGGGATGAAGCGCATTGTGGTCGTTGCACGCGGGACAGTAGGACGTTGAGCCCAAAGATGGTCTATTGACTAAACTTTGAGTGAGAGAAACTGGGAGTATAGGGGTGCGTTGATATTGACAGCGGGCGGTTAAAGACAAGAAATAGGCGGCAGAAATTCAAAGAGATATAAAGATGATAGAGTTCGCTGGCGTGTTGGGTTTGAATTTAGATCATCATCAACAGCTTTCAAGAGCTTTTCTCAAAAAGATCACAAAGAACTCTTTTTCGTTTCGTTTTACATCTTTTTCGTTCAAGCGACTGGGTCGTCTCATATGACAGCTGGTTCTTTCAATACACCAGAAATCTCCTATATAGTAGAGCCAAGCTTCTTCATCAAGTTCATCCCAACCGCTTTTTTGTCATAGCCAAGACGCTATCATCTATTCGCCCCCCCTCCACAACCACCATCTCATCTCAAAGAAGTCCACTTTACGAGTTAGACCAACAATGTACATCCGAAACAACCTCCTCGTCTTGGCTCTCTGCCTCTCCACCCTGGGCCTCGCCTCGCCCACGACCAACTCAAAGAGCGGCTCCAAGACGTCGCACAAGGGGAGTGGTTCCTCCAAGGGCGGGAAAGCGCCCTCTAGCCTCCCAGCTCATGCGCCAAAGAGTACATCGGCGCCGAGTTCCGGATCCGCTGCCGGTGGTGGTGCTGGCACTGGCGGTGGTGGTTCCGCAGCAGGCAACGGGACCACCTCTGGCGGCACCAACACGGAGCTGCAGACGACGTTCCCGACGGCCAAGGGGTCGCAGAACATTGCTGCCGTGAAGACCATTGCTGCAGGCCAGTCCTTCGACGGCGGCATGGTGATGTGGGATCGGAGCCCGAGTACCTGCAAGGGCCAGACCGAGGGCGGGAACAAGGACGCCGTGTTTATCCTCGAGGAAGGGGCTACGATTAGCAATGTGATTATTGGGCCTAATAATGGTGAGGGCATTCATTGCTTGGGGAGTTGTACTATCAACAACGTGTAAGTCTTGACCTCACTAGGCGCATGCCACATCCCCTTCATGAGCTTTCACTGATAGTCCATGGATTAGGTGGTTCCAAAAAGTCTGCGAGGACGCCATTACATTCCGCCAAACGTCAGGTACATCCTACGTCAACGGCGGGGGCGCCCAAGACGCAGCCGATAAGGTCCTCCAGCATGACGGCGGCGGTACCGTCGCCGTGAAGAACTACTTTTGCAAGAACTGCAGTAAGATGTACCGCAGCTGCGGTAACTGCAAGACGCAGGTGGCGCGGCACTCGACTTTTGACAATATCCGGCTCGATGGCGGGAAGGTCCTGTCTGGTGTGAATGGAAACTTGGGCGATGGGACGATTGTGAGGGACTCGTGCGTGTTGGGCGGCGCGCAGGTGTGTGAGAATTTTGAGGGGAATAGTAGTGGTGCGGAACCGAAGCTTGTTTCGAGTGGGCCGGATGGGAAGTTGTGTGTTGCTACGAATGTTAAGACGAGTGGGTGTTGAGGAATGGTGAGAGGTCTCTGTGAGGCTTTGGTTGTCTACCTGGAAGAAGGTTGGGTTCCGTTGTCTATACTTTGAAGCAGTACATATGATTTAGAAACGGCCGAGAGTAAGACTCAACCTAGACTTAGGTCACGCTCTAGGCTGAAGCTGTAGATACATCCACGTTGTCACGAAATTTACTCGCTGTCAAGTTGAAGTTGTCAATGCAGACGGAGACGTCGAGTTTCTCTTTTCTGACGTGACCCTCGCCATCTCTCGGTTTCGCATTACTCGTTCTTTCTCCTCCCACTTAGGCTCGAAACGAGACACATATCTTTCTCCTCGCTTCATACTCTCATTGCTGCATAAGGAATTCCTCTTGTGAATGATACATGAACCAGATTTGATACCCCTTCTCAAGTTCACAGACACCAGAGCTTCGTCTTCGTGGTCTCGAAGTCTGTGAAGGTGTGGTGTTCATGACCAGGGTATCCCTCTGGCCTACACTCGAGAGTCCCGCCAAACTAATCGACAGTCCCTGCCCTTATGATCCCCACCACATCCACAACGAGGGCTTTCAGAGTCTTTCTTCCCACAAGAAATTCGCCCATTATGAGTACAATTCGGAGATGCGGCTTCCACATCAGCTGAGCGTGTAAATCTCGCGTTCACTGGTCTATTAGTCTAGTTGGTTAGGACGTCGGATTCTGACGATGGTTTCGCCTCAAAGGACTTCCGTAAGCCCAGGTTCGAATCCTGGATGGACCTTCATTGCTTTTGTCGATGGGCGCTCTTGAACTTGCAAGATGCGAGCAAGCATGGAAGCTTTTGCTGAGACTGGCCTTTATCAAGTCACACATCGTGTTCGAACCATGGTGCTCTAGACTGGATGTACTTGCGCCGATGTGCAGCCAAGAATCGACCTGATCTTGGTAAGCGCTTGTGTTTTGGACATAAGGGTCAAGTTTAAATTGTTTACTGTGGCATCATGTTTGTATACATGCTTCTTTTCATTAAGAGCTGTCAAACAGAGACAATGTGCACGCGGTGCTGAAACGGCGATGTCGAGTTTAACTTGATTTATGGGGCACATTGCTGGGATACATCAACCTCGAATGCTAAATTACTTTATCTTGGCAACGCGTAACCCCCTTATGCTTTGTTTGGCAGAGTCTGAGAGAAAACAAAAGCATTTGTGTTCATTACTGCCAAAAAGTTCAAGCCGAATGCAGTCCTACTTCACATCAATGGCGAAGGATCGGCCATGCCGTTGAGGAATACGGGGAAAGCAGGGGAAGATCAGGCAATGTCACCACGGGAGAAGTCATTATCGAAGCCCGCCATGGCCCGACTGCCTAATGCGGCCGAAAGGACCGGGGCTACTAGGGAGGCCGGACCGGGGTCATGGGGGGCTGTCGGCTGTCCGCCGTTTGCCGAGCGCGGCATTGTGGGGGGCAAGGACGGGGTTCATCTCGTATCGCAAGGGGATCACGGTACTCTAAAGTGACACTCTAATAATAGGGATCATGTGGATATTTACAGGTAGTGAAAAAGACGTGAAGAAGGCCCTTGGGCTGCGCCTCAAAGGAAATGTTCTAACAGTGCTTGCTCGAAACATCCAAACCGAATTCGTTGTTTGTCTTTGTTCGTGTGCCTTTGGGCAGCTTTCCCTCGTTCGAACATGTACCCTCACTCATTCTTGGGTCTCTTGACTTCGTACCTTTCGTTCTGCTCTATTGCCCATGCGATCCCAACCGAACGACGCCAGGCCAACGACACCTCTGCTGACGTCCAGACATACTTCAATCTAGATGGCTCAGCGCACGGCGACAAGGTCAAGTCTCTCATTGCCGATGGCTATCGCATGATATCCTTGAGCAACTATGGCACGGCGTTGGATGCAAAGTATGCTGCTGTCTGGGTACGGCGGGATGGAAAGCCGTTTGAAGTCATCTACGGCGCAGACGAGGCGACTTACGACGACTGGTTCGACTTGTGGAAGTCCAAAGGCTATGTTCCGACGCACATCTCCGTCACGGGACCGGCTGGCAGCGCCATCTACGCGGGTGTCATGGAGAAGGCAGATGTCACCAAATGGACACAGCTTTGCGGTCTTACCAATCCCTACGCGTTTGACAATGCGACCAATGGTATCGACATGGTTGTGAAGGGCTTCAGCATGTACGGCTCCCCTTCGGACCGCCTCTATTGCGTGTTGGGCCACGAAAATATTGGGAATCAGATGTCTACCATCTTTTACTCCTCTGGCAACTACACCATCGACTATCCCAAGATCTTTGAGTCCGAGACGGCGAAGCGCTTCTGGAGGCCTTCTCGCCTCTTTCGCTCAGATGATCACGTTGTCACTCCCCAGTTCGTGGACACCTCTGTTGGGAAATGGGTGGCAATGAATGATCTCACGGCTGAAGAGCTGTCTTCTCAGATTGGCTTCCAGAAGCAGCAGGGCTTACACCCGATTGACCTCCAGGGGGGTGGCTCTGGACAGGATATCCGCTTCGCCGTCATCTTCGCAGAAAGCGACGTTCCCGAGACCCGAGAATGGACCGCCACCGGCTCCTTCACCGGCTTCAAGGATAACGCGGGTGCCACAACGGCCTTTGATGCCGCCATGCAGACTTGGATGAGGAAGAACGGCGTCCGCCAGGCCCAACTCGCCATCGCATCCAACGGTTCGACCATTGCTGAACGCGGGTATACCTGGGCGGAGAGCAACCGCCCCATCGTTGAGACGGACGACGTCTTCCTCCTCGCCAGTGTGAGCAAGATCTTTGTCCACGCGGCCATCTTTAACCTCATCGAGGCTGGGAAGCTCAACTACTCCACGGCTGCATACCCTTTACTCGGATACAACGAGCCCGTAGACGCCCGCGCAAAGGACATCACCATCGACCACCTCCTCGCGCACACGTCCGGGTACAACCGCGATAGGTCCGGCGACCCGAGTTTCTTGTTCCGCGAGATCGCCATTGACATGTTCAACGGCACCCGCGCCGCAACGCTACGGGACGTCATCGAGTACCAGGTCGCCCGCCCGCTCGACTTCGCCCCCGGCACCGACTACGCCTACTCCAACTACGGCACCATGCTCCTGAGCTACATCGTCAGCAACATCACAGCGATGCCCTACCTCGACTTCTTGAAGGCCAATATCCTCGGCGACCTGGACGTGCGTCAGTACGAGACGGCAGCGGCGGAGCACGCCGGGGACCGCATCGTCCAGGAGAGCAAGTACACGGGCTACGACCCGCGCGAACCACAGGCGTACCGACTCGTGCCGGGCCCGTACGGCGGCGATGGGGCTATCAAGGAGGAGTGCGCGGGGGCGTTCTCGCTTGCGGCAAGTGCGGGAACGGTGGCGAGGTTCATCGGCTCACACGCGGTCAGCGGGACCGGCGGTCGGGCGCCGTTTGCGGAGCGGGACGGGACGGTGGTTGGGGCGAGGACTTTTGCGTCAAGTAGGCCTGATCTTGACTGGGCTTTGACGATTAATACGCGGGAGTACATCTCTGAGGCGGAGTTTGACGATTTGAGGTATTGGAAAATACCTTTTGTATTTGAGGACTTCGCGGTGGCGTAGAGGACGATGAAGATGAATATAGGTATGTTAATTCGGAAGTTTGTGAACATGAAGTCAAATGTTGATCTCGGATATGTTACTGCAGCTCTGACCTAAATGATACTAATATCGACCCTTTCAACGGATCAAGACAACTTGCTCCCAACAACTGCATACTTCCTCAACGCTTTTAAAGCTTCTGCATACTCACGCTCAATCACTTGAGCATGCCTGAGAGATCGAGGTGTTATCGAGCAAGGGAATGGCAATGGACTGGAGTTGAAGCCATCTGAGTACGCGAAGCTGTGTGTACATCAAATCAGTTCACATATCATGTGCGCGCAAGGGGCAAGGGGTCAGACTTACATGTCAACATCAATATCTCTTCTTTTCTCATCTTTCTCAGGGTTGATTTCAAATCCCCAGAGTGTTCTCGCGATGTTCAAGGCCACGGACGCAGACCCAAGGTGCATGCCGGGGCAGATCCGGCGGCCCCAACCAAAAGCACTATGGCCGAATGTGCCAGGGTATTCGCGGTCGGTCAAGAACCGCTCAGGTCTAAATTCATGGGGTTCTGGGAAGTCCGCTTCGTTGAGATGGACTAGAACGTACTTAGTCAGAGCATCACACAGGGTCTTTAGCATCTTAGGCTCGACGTACTGCTCCATAGAGGGGCGATGACAGTGCTGCCCTTTGGGATGAACATGCCCTTGTAGATATGATCCGCGGTGCTTGCATGGGGAGTGCCACCGAGCACGGCGACAGGTCGCCAGCGTAACGTCTCCGAAGCTATGGCGCGGACATACTCGAGCCTGTTCAGATCCTCAAACGTGGGCAGCCGGTCGCTTCCAACGACTCTGTCAAGCTCCTCTTGTGCTCTGGGGATGAACTGTGGGCCAAACTTGGCACAAGCCAGGAAAAAGCTGGCTAGAGACCCGGCCGACTTGAGACATTGGTGGTTAGTAAGGTTGGGGTTTTGCATGACTCCGCACCATGAAAGGGAAATTTTGTCTCACCGTCTCAACGCCAGCCCCAAACGGTGAGCCCGCTGTGTACGCTATTTCGAGGTCTGACATCCCGAGGTTGGTTTGTTCTTGGAGCAGGTGTTTTGCGAAGGATTCTGGCGCGACGCCCCTGGAAACTTTGTCCCTGACTTCGTCCATGAGTTCGGTGTACATCTGAACGTCCTTCTGTCGTTGCTTCAAGACTTCGGCCTTCCACGTAGCCAAGAAGCTGGGGACGTATTTGAGAATAGGATATCTCTCTACAGCAAACTTGCCAGGGATACTAAATGCCGATAAGAACCGTTAGAAACACCAAGTCCATAGGGGAGTTGAGAAGAAGACGGAATAGCTGACTTGACCGATGTCAAACGTCCCATCGACTCAGCATTGCGCTGGACAACAATATCAGTGGCGATACCCTCCACCCTTCTACCGTATGTTACCGTCACAATGACAGAAGCCGCATACCGCTCAAGATGCCTTCTAAAATCTCTGGGAGTCGTGAGGAGCTCATGCATAAGCACCTTGGACTCCAGACTCTGCACCGGCCGGTACGTCTCACTCTGCCGCTGCATGAAGCCGCTGTGCAGGAGTTTTCGCCATCGCCGCCAAAAGGGAGAGTACGAGGCCATCAGACCCCTCATGCCGCCGGAAAGCAGCTCGCCGCCCATGATGAAGCGCGGCCGTGACGAGAAGATGGAGCCTTTCTTTTCGAGGAGGTCCCACGCCGCTTGAGCCGAGCCCAGCACGACGGTCGGCGTCGGGCCCATCTGGAGGTAAACGACGTCGCCGTACTCCCTGCTAAGTTCCTGAAACCAAAGCCATGGCTTTCGAATGCCTGTTTTGATGATCTTGGGGCCGGGGGGGAGTTGTGATCGGTGTGAATAGAGTTTCCATTCTTGTCGTAACTATTCAGGATTGAAAATGTCAGGACAGTGGCGAGTAAAGCATGGCAGTATGAAGTTTTCTTACCCGGGGGAATATGAGAGCTAGGTACGAAACTCCAGCCAACACCCCTAAGTAAACGAGAATGTTAAAGAGCATGGTGGACTGGTTGACTCTTGATAGACCAGGATAACAAGTGTGAAACCTCAACACACGCATACATAGATGTTGAGTCTTCAGTCTTTCTTCGGTTATCTCAAAAGACTTAGCCGGGGATATCTATGGGTTTGGACGGGGCAATAGTACTGGATAGTAATCAAACCCGAGGTTATTCAATTTTCGATAGTCAGTCGAGTGGCTAGCGCTTCCACTTCGACTCTTCCAACAATTGCCGATCTTGGCGGACACGATTCAGCAAGCCACAACTGTGTCTTTTCAATCCTTCCCGCTCGATAGTCATGGATAAATCAAGTCACGATACGAACAAGTCCCCTTGATAACCCCGCAGTCTGGGTCAGAGCTGCACGTGGGTTACGCGGGGGAAGCAACATGCGTGTGGGGGAACTACCCCCGAAACGAAGCGGCCCATGCATGCTTCTTGCTGACTCCAAACTTACAAACGCCTTGGTTGGACAGCGGAAAATCATACCCTAGCCCTGGGTAGCATCACCGCGGCAGTTGTTCGAGTGAGATGAAGAGCATGGGAGGAGAAGAGGTACAAAGTCTAGGAGGTCCCTGTAGGCCCAAATCTAAATGGACGATACTCCCTGCTTGTACACTACTTAGGGAACTTCGGAATTTGAATCTTTGACCAGATTGTAAACTTAGGCTCTAGTTTCACCTCTATTATGACACCTGATTCTTCCGCTTGGCTGAGCAAGCCTTTGTTGACGTCGATCCTCCTTGGCATAGGAGGCTTTCTCTATGGGTAGTGAGTCTTTCTAAGCAACGGTAATGTCTCATCAACTACATTCTTACGCTATAGCATAGTGATTCGGGAATAATTACACCAAGTTTGGCACTCAAGTCATTTCTCACTTATTTCGGAAACCCTGATGCTCCCCTTCGAGGTGCTATCGTTTCCGTATATCAAGCTGGAGGTATGGCGTGTCCTGAGAACGGCAATGACTGTTCGTCTAATAGTACTCCTAGCATGGCTTGGGAGTGCATCTGTTGGTGTTACTAGCGACAAGTTTGGCCGCCGTAAAGCTATTGCTTTTGGCTGCATTTGGGGCGTCATCGGCGGTGCTCTGATGGCGGGTGCTGCCCACGTCGCAATGCGTACGTAAATTTCAGATCTGAGAAAACGCGAGAAGGAATGCTCAAATGAGATTCAGTCATTATGGGCCGACTACTAGTTGGCTTTGCAGTCGGTACAATCACTGGCGTAGCTCCAGTCTTTGGAGCAGAGATCGCTAAGGTAGGTTGCATCGCTCTACGAACGACGAAGATGCGAGATATTAATCTTCCCCAGACTCATGAGAGGGCCAGAATCACAGCTGTCAACCAGATGAGTAAGTTGGAACATCGATAGCTAGTCTCGATTAACGCATGCTAATAAGATCAAGTGGTCGCTTGGGGCTTCTTCGTCGCTCTCTGGACCGGCGTTGGTGAAGGCAAATGGCAAAACCCCAATCAATGGAGGCTCGGCTTCGCGATCCAGAGCGTCCCTGCCTTGGTCCTGGGTATCAGTGTTCTCTTTCTGGGTGAATCGCCCAGATGGCTATGCCTGAAAGGTCGACACGAGGAAGCCGAGAAAGCTTTCCGCAACTACCACTACAACGGATCCAACGACGACTGGTGCCGTAACGAGTTCACCGTTATCCAAGTCAACATCGCAGAGGAGCTGCAGGCCCAGGGTCGGCTCTCCTGGGGCGACCTGTTCAAGACGCCCGCGTTCCGTAAGCGGCTCTTTGTCGGCTCGTTCGTCTGGGCTGCTGCCATGCTTTCCGGAATTTCGTTTGTTCAGTATTATCAGACGGCCATCTACGCTACACTGCAGTTCAGCCAAGATCAACAACTTCTCGTTAGTGGTCTTTATGGTTCTGTGGCACCCGTGGCCTGTCTCATCTCGTTGTTCTTTGTCGATCGCATCGGCCGCAAGAAGATTCTCATCATGAGCTCGTCTCTGTTGTCACTTTGTTACTTGATCATCACCATCTTAGCAGCAGTATACCCTGCAAGACCCGGATTTCCGACTAACGAGGCGGCTCAGCGCGGCCTTATTGCATGCATTTTCGCTGTTTCGGCCAACTATTCCGCGCTCCTGGGGCCTATGACATGGATTATTCCGTGAGTATTGTTCAGAGTATCACTTCCCGAACAGCCGCGTTAACATGAGTATAGACCCGAAGTATTCACTACGGAGCTACGAGCCAAAGCAAACGCCATAGTCCAGGTCATTCATTACTCCATTAGTCTCATCATTACGCAGTGTTCACCAATCGCGCTGGCTGTGGTTGGGTGGAAGTATTATGTACGTTAAACTTGTCTCCACTTGCGTTCAACTGATTCCGTCTTCTAATCTGATATCTCAGATATTATTCATCATATCCAACGCTTTCTGTGCTATCGTCTTTGCGTTCTTCTATCCCGAGACCAGAGGTATAAATCTTATCACCCATCGTCTATGGGCGGGAGCTAACACCTCACTCACAGGAAAATCATTGGAAGAAATCGACGAGATCTTTGGCGAAGTCAAAATCGTGCGTGATATTGATTTTGCCGAGAAAACTGGAGTTCAAGAAGTCGAAATTCGTCAGCGCAAATGAGGAAGTTGCGGGATTTCAACATAACAGGAAAGATAATAACTGTGTGTCTAGTACCTTGGTGTAGATACAAATTGATAGAAGAGATAGTTGACCTCAATCTATGAGCAATGCAGTCCAATTTTTATGTTTGACGAATGGCCTACTCATCTGCCTGTTGGCCCTCAGCTAAGAGTCTGAGACAGCCAGGCGCAGGATTGTGGAGGACTATTGATAGACCGACAATAATAAGTTATGTAGTTTTTGTAAGAGATTTGGGTACCATGATTCTTCCGTTGATGCCAGCTCCGATTGAACGTTCTACGAGGGAGAACTTGTTGAAGACAGAGTTCAAATGGCAAAACGTTCTAGAACTGCTTATCAGTACTCCCACTCTATAGGTTACTCCATGCGAACACGAACAAGGTACCATGATGTCTCAGTTCGCAACATCAAATTGATTTCACTGAAGTACTTCCTAAACTTGTGCATTAAAATTTCGTGGGTACCAAAACTTGTAAAAAAAACTTTTAGTCCAAGCCAAGAAGCCAACCAAGTTCATACATCGTTATATATCACATCCTCGCTGTTGCTTCCGGAATCCGGCCCCTTTCCAATGCTTTTCGGCTCAGCTTAATCGCACATTTTCGTTCTTCACTTCTCTTGCAGCAACGTGCGGCGGTAGTTGAACCGAGCTCACGGCCGCTTCTACGTCAACGACTCTGTCCCGCGCCACCATTTGCACCGCCGGGTCCGGATCAGCCGGTCTCGAGGCATACCGCGACGTCCCTCTCCGTCTGTGTCTCCTCAAAGTCATGGAGACCAATACATACGTCCACAAGAGGATGGAACCTGCGCTCGAGAACAGCCACGTAAGAGCGATGCAGTCGGTCTGCTGCGACCAGTCTCGGTGCCATGCGTACCGCACGGTGGCGACGCAGACAACCTGCGTGATCACCCAAAATGCCCAGTAGAAGTAGATTTGACCACCCATGTAGCCAGGCGGGGGAAGAATGCATTTGTGGATGCTGAAGACCGCTGCGTAACCAGTTTGCGTGAGAATCAGGATGACCAAGAGGTCCACCATGGAGGTTATGGGTTTGCCGGCCTCCGAGGATGCTCTCATCAAGGTGGCCGCTATCAGAATTGTGGTTAGGAGGAATGTGCTGAGGAGTGCTGTAGCTGAATAACTGGCTTCGTCCATGAGACTTGTTCGTGGTGGCCACGGTTGTTCTCTTCGTCGGCGGAGCCACATTTTTGCCCGGGCGAGAGGAGCACTGTAGAAAGGCATTGCTGGGCTTTCCGAGAAGGAGGATGTAAATGAGGAGATTTTGGTGCTTTCTGCCCGGGTTTGAGATTTTGAAAAGGTGATACTGAGAGAGTCATAGATATTGGAGGCTGCAAAACTGGAAAACAGTCCACTCATCAGCAGTCGTAAGCGTCTCGCAAATGATTAAGAACCGTCTTATTTAAGCATCTGCTCTACGTACCATGCCGGAGAATGTCATGATGTGAGTTTAATCGATGATGCGTCAAAAGAGTTTTATGTACATCCATCCATTCAAGCCTTTGGGGGCGTTCAAGTGGCTGTGTATTAATTCTACCTTGATAGACACTATTAATTTTATTGGTGCTCAAAATCATGGGTAGGGATCGAATGCTGCTTTAGGATCCTCTCGATGACTGCTAAAAGGCTAGGATTGGGAAAAGGCGTGGAAAGAATGGGGTTAGAAATAAATGTATGGGAACAACAAAATTATTTCCTCTCTCTTCTTGTTCAAGGCCTTTCAGGGACATTGAATGGTTCTTGTGGCTAATAGTTGTCGAAGTGGTATTTAAGCTCACGCGATAAGCTGCATTCGCCCGGTCTCCGAACGGGCCGAGATGGTCGGACCACGCTGGTATATATTCGACATGAGTGACTTGAGAGTCTGCGGTTCCAACTGCCTGGAGGCTTCACGTGTAGTTGCAGTCGGCTCGGACTCTCTCCGTCGTGGAGCTTGATAGTCGAAAGCACATGAATTGGTTGTCCCGGCGATCAGATCAGAGGGCCATGATGGCCTCTTGTTGCTTGTTGAGGAGAATATCGCTCACTCACGAGACACCCCGCGCGGGCAATTGAGCTCTCCCCGGGATTGCGTGGGTCGACTGGATGCCCCCTCCAAATCTCCAACATCTTTCCCCTCAACCGTGCAGAGTCGGTACCCGTAACTGTGCGAAGAACACCATGTGTCTGGTGTGATGTGGAACTCTGGTGAGAGCCTCGAACGGTGAAGCGAGTAGCGGACCGATGGTTGGAGGGTCAAATTTCAGAGTCTCCGTAGTCCTCCCGCAGTGACCCGAACCCCACGCTCCATAGTCCGTGTCTTCCCCCTCACCGACATGCCTCCGCGCCCGGCTGCCCAGCTCCGCACCAACAGGAGTTCCCAGGATGGATGGACTCGGATGGAGTGTACACGAGGAGTACTTGGACACGACGCGTCCGCGAAGGCGCGGGGCAGGTTGACCCTCTCTTCCTCGCTGCTATCTGCGGTGAAAATGCCCCTCTTGTTGGAAGCTGGGACTTGAAGACAGCATCGACGATGTAGGCCTTGACTAATGGCGCGCGCTGCAGGGCCGGGGTGGGTTGGATGTGGGCTTCTGTGGATCTCACAGCTGGACTCTTGGCCGCAACCATGTAGTTTCTGAGACCGATTGGGCGCCGTAATTTTCCATTGAGGCCTAGAACTTGGTTGCCAGGTTTTTTGTGATGAGCTAAGAACAAACTCGCCGAGCATCTGTACTTACGTAGGTATTTACACTTCTTCGGACTGAAGATATCAAATAATCCAGTTCGACAAATCCTACCCGATTCCCGGTCAGTGCGGTTGGATTAGTAGTCAACAGGAAAGGGTTGCGCCAAGCGAGGACCAAGATCAGATTGATGAGCTGTCCAAGCTGCATGCCGCATACTGCTGCAGTCCTCGCATGTGGGATTACTCAGATACACGTTCGTACATAACAAGTACACAGTACTGTTCCACGTTCTCAGCATTGAGACTATTCTCTGTTAGGTATGCGTAGGAGTACGGCAATACTTCAATAGAGGCACAGAGGCGCAGACTTTCCAAGTATTGAGACTATTCTCTGTTAGGTATGCGTAGCAGTACGGCAATACTGTCTCAGTATCTACCTGCGGCCCATCCGGGTCCCATTAATCTAGATCCACCAGACTGACGGGCACTTGATGGGAGAGAACATGGGTTCACCCATGTATCTAAACATTCCTGACAACCTCATTGCTGAGCAATGGTCCGTGTTTAGCCCCGGCGTCTAGTCCGTGTGCCTGTATCAATGACATCAGCGGGGTTCCCGGGATGCCGTCACGGCCGGCCAATTCCCAAAGCTACCCCTCCATCATGCCACCTTATTGACCCCTCGGTCTTTTTTGGGCTCGAAGCACCTTGTACTCCCAGCTATTCAAAGCTGCGTTTCTCCCGCTGACCGTTTCTAAGTTTCTCTCCCTTCACCTTTCTCATTCCAAAAAGTTTGATACCCAAAAAAGCCTTCTCTTCAATCTTTGCAGACGCCTCTTTTACCTTTACATCCAAGCCACATTCACCAATTCTTCAATATGCCTCAGTCCATCCCCACCGCTTCCCGTCTTTTGGACCTCTTCAGCCTCAAGGGCAAGGTCGTCGTTGTCACGGGTGCCTCCGGCCCCCGTGGCATGGGCATTGAGGCTGCCCGCGGCTGCGCCGAGATGGGCGCCGACCTGGCCATCACCTACTCTTCCCGCAAGGAGGGTGCTGAGAAGAACGCCGCCGAGCTCGAGAAGGAGTACGGCGTCAAGGTCAAGATCTACAAGCTCAACGTCAGCGACTACGACGAGGTTGAGAAGACCACCAAGCAGATCATCGCCGACTTCGGCAAGATCGATGCCTTCATCGCCAAGTAAGTCCCAGCTCTCTCTTCAACCCCGCGTGACTTTTCAGTGTGAGAAAAGTTGCTGACATTTATGTTCTCTACAGTGCCGGTGCCACCGCCGACGCTGGTGTCATTGACGGCACCAAGGAGGCCTGGGATCATGTTATCCAGATCGACCTGAACGGCACCGCGTACTGCGCCAAGGCCGTCGGCGCCCACTTCCGCGAGCGCGGCTCCGGCTCCTTCGTCATCACCGCCTCCATGTCCGGCCACATCGCCAACTACCCCCAGGAGCAGACCTCGTACAACGTCGCAAAGGCCGGCTGCATCCACATGGCCCGCTCCCTCGCCAACGAGTGGCGCGACTTCGCCCGTGTCAACTCCATCTCTCCCGGCTACATTGACACTGGTCTGTCCGACTTTGTCGAGCAGAAGGTCCAGGATCTGTGGAAGAGCATGATCCCCATGGGCCGCAACGGTGACGCCAAGGAGCTCAAGGGTGCCTACGTCTACCTCGTCTCCGATGCTAGCACCTACACCACCGGTGCCGACATCGTCATTGACGGCGGTTACTGCTGCCGTTAAATGCCTCGTTTCCTGTTCATGAAGCAGGCGGAGCAACAGTACATGGATATGGAAGACTGAAAGGTTTCTAATCCTGGATATGATGTTATGACTAGTTAAAAAATAATAGACAAAAAAGTAAAAACACTGTAATCTCATGTGATGTGATGGCCCAAGTTGTGCGCCCCGACCCGTGCCTCCCGGTTTCATGGAACAGTTAGTGCTACATAGGTGGAAGGCAATACAAGTCAAGCAGCATCGGTTGTAGAAACGAAGGCTAATGCGGTATCTCAACCAGATCGCATAAAATCCATTAGTTTCATTACAAAAGAACTTTTTTCGTCGTGTAAGCTTCTCCTGTCTCGCCGCATTATGTCCCCGCAGTCATGAGTGATGATGTATGCGTGATGACATGACCTCGTTCCTGGCTCCATTTCCTTAGCCTCAAGGTCTTAGCTACTTATAGTGGACTTCCCGTCAACACTCCACCTGTCGTGTCTTCCCATTGTGTGCCCATCCCAAATCGTGATCCCGGGCTCGGTCCACTGTAACTCCATTCCCAACCTCCATAATCTTCTGATCAAAAGTGATCCGTAGGTTCGGGAACTTGGAAGCTTCGCTCCAAAGTCACACGATGGGAAATATACAATCTCACGCAAAAAAACACAATCCCGCACTCAGACTTCCCAAGTGGGCTGTTGAATACGTAGTCGATTTATTCCAATGAGAGCATGGTTCACATTAACCAGATTAATGAAGATGACCAGAAGAACGAACTCATGAGCTACCCTGCTTTCACTTGCAAGCATCGCATACAGGTAGTGGCTGCAGCCTGCAGTGCTACAATATGACTAAATGCGTTGTTGGTAAGTCTGAGGTTCACAGTTGGTCTAGAGTTCAGTAATTACAGCAAATGACCCTGATGCGCCAGGAACAGTGCTGATGTATTTCCTCCTTAGACTGCCTCCCAATTCACCTACAACGGAAGCCCACATGTCCAACCCCTCCCTCGCAACAGCATCAGACTCCGAGGCTCCAATAAACACTGGAAACATTTCTCAGAGATTCTTGGCGATTAATTGCGAAAGTAATTTCTTCGTCCAAGCTGGTAGATATCTCTTTAAGGCAACCCAATATGTCTCGGGGCCCAACCAAGCCACTATGCATGTCATAATGAGGATTTGTAATGCAATGTGATCAATTTCGTTGAGGAAGTAGATGGCCTTTAAGTCCCAAACAAAAAGCTTCCATTTACCCATTACCCAGAAACAGTGTCTTCGTAGACAAATATGAAGTGTAGTATAGGCGACACAACCAAGGCCGGTCCAGGTATCAAGCTGGGTGAACATTGACGCCAGCGCAACCATTGTCGCAACAATAAAGACTGTTTCAGACCAGTGGCTGGGCAAGACTTTCTGTGAGAAACTTTCCCAGAACTCGAAGACACACCAGAGATAGAACATCGTCAAAACGGTGGCAAGTGCGGGTGGTGAGAATGTCTCGTCATCACTGCCGAGGGCCTTGTCTCCGCTGACAATTACTCGGGTCGATGATTCCTCGAGGCTATCGAATGCTTCTCCAAGGGAAGGTGTTTCGGAGCTTGTCGGGGTCGGCGCTCGAGATGACTCTTGGGAGTCCAGGCAATCCTGGAAGTGTGCTTCGGCGAGGGGAGTCGGGGTCTTCTTATCCAGGTTTATAACCAGCTTCCGAGTCCGATGGTTGTTCGTGACTGTTTGAGGGCGCGTCGAGAGTGAACTCCTCGGAAATTTTGATGAGTTTCATCTATAAGGCAGCTACCGGTTTTGGTCGTCTTACCATAATGGTTGAGGCTAAAAACGTTCTGACAGGTAATTGTGCTGGATGGAAGAAAGAAAATGGGGGTACTCTCTGGGGTACATCGTGTAAGTTGGTCAAAATTTATGGCTTGGCTGTTTATATACGTTCACGAATCAGACAAGGTCCCCTCTCAATCACGGTATCGCTGACCAATTCAAAGACGCAAGTCTCGTAGCCCTCAGATCTGAACCATACCACACCTTACAAACATCCCCATTTGACCGAGTTCTTTAATCACAAGCTTTCCTTTAAGGTCCCATTCCGCACGGATACCCTTGTGTTCATACTTCGAACGGCTTCTTCTACTACGTTTTAGGGAACTTATGAAAGGCCGGGACTTAGGGAGCTTTGGGAGATACCAAAGTTCAGGTCCATCGACTTGCAAGAAAGAACTGAGGCGAGTGGAGAGTCTCACGTATCCAATCCGATATTAGGGGTTGGATTGCCAAACCCACTTAAAGCTTGACAATAACTACTTTTATCCCATCAACTGCTAGATAGCGTCAGTACATAGATGCGTGCTTTTATGAGGGAAACAACGAGTAGCCTCTTAATCCGACCCTAGCTCTATTATATCCGCCTGTCAACAATCTCGAAATACAACAAAGTCAGAGATACTGGAGTCGGACTTAGTCACGACATCTCCAGCAGTTGATGGGATAGGCTTCTCAACCCCCCTCCCCTCTACGTGTTTCATGTAGCATCTACTGTGTATCAACAGCCTTATGGCAGAGATTTCTCTTGGACTTCAGCACTCCAGCGGCAACCTCCCGCCAATGTGTGTCTCTGTCCTCCTGATTCCCGGCATCATCGGGCGCCTGTCGAATGAGGTATACCGAAGAGCAGGAAGAGTCGCCATTCAACCAAGCCTTGGTGTTCGCGGGTGCCAAGGGATACTGGTCAGCCCAATTTTCGTTGGTCATAATGTCGGCAAGGCGTATGTCGTCCCAGATCTTGGGAAGTCAGTCATTGACGACGAGCACGACGTCGCCAGTAGTGACATACGGCTTCGCCTTCGCTTCCACGTGGAGCTTGGATGTATTTTTGTAGTATCTGGAGGGGTGTTCTTTGCAGCTCTGACAAATACAGTACTCGTCTGTTTCCTCATCTTCGTCGGTATCGTCGTCGCGATCAATCTCATGTTCCTCCGCCATCCGGCAGCATGTGTCTTGAAGCGCCTCAAGGTTGTTGACACCGATGGTCAAGCGAGAGACCAGATGGTACACTGCAGATAGTGATACAATAGGATGGAAGGACATGGGCTCGTCGCCGGGGCCGGAAGAAGCAAACGGCTGCCGTCTTACGAAGGCCTCAGCTGGGAGCCCCGCGGTGTCCAGGACCGCGATGTCGCGAAGCGATCCGGGGGCAGGCCATAAAAGAAGCTCAGCCTCCGGCCATAACCCTCTAAATTCTCCGAGCTTGGCAATTTTGCGCTTTCGACACCTTTGGATGTGTCGTAGATATGATCCATCGCAGGTGGCGCATGGGTAGACATGATCATCTGCCCTGCTAAGAAAGGGCTTCGTTGTCTCGCCGTTGAAGAAGGTGTCAATAGCTCGATTATCCCACCCGAGTTGAAACAAGGCTGGGCGAAAGATCCAACAGCTTTGTCAAACGTTGTTTCTCTTGTCCCTCGAACCAACAAAGCGGGGTCATGAAATTGTGAGAGTGCACAATGGTCGGCCAACCACCAACGCAGAGACAACTTTCCTACATCCTGTAGATTGCCGCTGTTGCTCATCTTGACCATGAAAATGGCATAATTGACGCCGAATAGGAGAGCTTTGAGGCCCGAAAGCCTTGGAAAGACGGTCAATGGTAGGCGGGTGTATTATCGGCTTCAGAAGCTAGTGTGGTGTTTAACTCTTTTCCTCAAGCTTAGCTACATTTCGGGACCTGGCAGTGTCTCGACCGTTTGAATCTTTGTTCCCATGATCAAGTTGACAAAAGTTTTCCTTATAAGGACAAATAAAACAAGTACTTAGTTACGTGTGTTGCATAACCATGTCTCAAGTCTTCCTAACCCTTGATTCTGGACGCTCAGGAGGATCCACCAGATACAGGAATTAAATCAATCTCAACAGAGACACCTCCGCCAAGGTCGCCACCAATCGACCGCTTCCCCGTACCCGCAGCGGTGTACAGAGCGAAGCGGATAGCTTTTCTAGGCCCCTTCTCATTAGAGACGGTTTCGATGTTGAGATACCTAGGATCTTCAAACTGACGAACGGGGACATCAAACGTCCACCGTCCGACAGCGTCGCCACCCTCCTCCGCCGCCCGGTCGTTGATACCGGCATACGCCTTCTTGAAATCCTCGCTACTGACATCGATCGACACTGAGTGGACTCCAAGCGATCCATTTGGGTGCTTTACATTCTCCGGAACGTGATCCGGCACGCGAAGCTTGCGAGGCGTCCGGTCAAAGCACCAAAACGGCAACTCGCCCCTCTCCACTTTTCCGGCTCCGGCTCCGGCGGCAGCACCGTCCGGGAGCGCAACGGCCCACTTCAGCTCTTCGCCATCAGGCCTGATGCGCCCGCCAGGCACAGGATCCTCGTACACGGCCAAAGATTGCGAGGCGTGCACCCGCTTCTGGATCTCGGCGAAGCCGGACTCGTCCTTGAGGGAGTAGGCCCAGTCGATGATGGTGCCGTCCGGTTTCGGACCCCACTTGTGCTTGAGGCGGTCTTCCCGGCTGATGCCCGCGACGAAGGAGATGATTTCCAGGTAGGTGCCATCAGCGAAGATGACGAGCTTGTTCTCTGTGAGGCCGTCGGCGTGGCGACCACCTGTGAGGATGGTGAATTCGGTTGAGAGCCAAGTGGGTAGGGAGGCGAGGACTTGGTGGGGGACCAGGATCACGATGTGATCCAGGAGAGGCGGGTTCGAGCTCTGAGTAGTTGACATGTTGTCACGTTCGTATTTGGGCTTTTATATAACGTCGAAAGGGTGGTAGTGATGCCGGTTACTTTGAGACTTGCTGTAGATGTGATGTAGAGCATCGGGGACATCATCCGGTATTTATCGTACTGTTCCCCGCGCGGCCCCACAATGTCACCATTGCTGATAGTCATTGCGAAGAAACGCGGATGTATCACGTCCGCTATCGGTCGACAACTTACATGAGTCTTTTGCCAAGTTACTCGCAAATACCTCAGATGTCTTGGACATTTTCCAACGTATGCCGGAGCTACGACGAGAGCTCCGGCACGTGGCCGGCACTCGTTCCGGTACCCACTTCATGGAAGCTGAAGAGGCCTTATGTAATCAAGCACAGATCTCGTTGCAAAGGTGAGGGTGGACTCTTCTGCTCTCTCTCACTCTTAGGTTGCTTCAGCACACCGAGGACTTCTTCTCTATGAGACTGCCAAATCATGCAGTTCACCGCTGAATATGAACGGATGTCTTCTCTCTGACTCTCAAGCATTGCATCAACACTCGAGTTCTCGTCAATGGGACTTGCGTGGATTACCCCGTCAGCTTCTCAGGGGTTCCTGGAACACGCGGCAGGCCTACCAGAAACCACTCCCTTACTTGTCCTAGCGAATAGGAAACCCGTCAGACAAGCCGAATTCTCTTCACGACAATCTCTGTAAGGACTCTGATCATTCAATTTTTACCGGCCGCACTTCCTGTTCAACTCACAAAAGAACATCATACGCGACAATGTAACATCTCTTTGACCCTCTGTCAGTGCTGGCGCACTAAAGTTTGCAAGCTCTGTCGAAGGATCCCGGGGCCGTCCCTGGATGTCCACCAAAAGACGCCGGATCCAAGGGATGGCGCTTGAGCCAGGCCTCAGATTTTTAGCCTTCTGCCAGATACGAAGCTGACAAGCAGACGAATCCATGATAGAATAAAGGTTGGTCAACGGTGCCGTTTAAATGGTGCAATAATTGCTGCTGTGCGACGTTACCTCAGACGGAGGGGCAACCAGACAAACAACACCCCGAGTTAAGACACCTGAACCATCGGCCCGAGTTGTGTTTGTTGCATCTCTGTCATGAATTCTAAGTGATAAAAAGCAGTGACCTCTAACGCGCATGGCCAGTGTTTGCTCTAGGCCCAGATCTTCTCGCGCCAGTTGGCAACTGCCAGTGGCCAACGCCGGTGTACTGCTTTTGGCTATAGTTTGACAACAGAAACCGGGTCTCTCATCCATGCCAAAGTTCAAACAAAACTCTTTTCTGGATCAGTAGCTTAGGCAGGCTGGAGATGGCATAGTTCTGGCATTGGAACCAACTCTGGGCCGACAACAGACAAAAGCAGCTGCCAGTTCTGTTACCAGAGCACTTCCTATTGCTCAAAACATAAGTACCTTACGCAACGGCGCGCCGGCGCCACGTACGACGGCCTCAACGCGAAGATACTTGGCCGATCACTGTGATACTTGCGTAAGACCTGCATTAAGACTGACGATTTCCTACCGAAGCTTGTGGCGTGTCTTGAGGCTTGCGCCGTTTGTTAATACAGGCTCGACACTGGCAGCAATCTTCCTCAGCCAAGCCCTCATTCAATCGAAAACCGACGCAATGGAACGCCGACCCTCCGCCTCCCGGTCAGCCCGAGAACCCCTTCCCATTCGCTCCCGAGGCCGTGCGTCCCATCTTGATCCCATCCCCCCCCCCCTTCCCCTTCTCTCATTGAGGCTCACGACCCAACTTGGACTTTGGAGTACGGTAGTACCGGATCATATTGACCCCGGCCCTCTCCCCAATCGCTTGATTTCCACACATAATGGGCTGCATTCTGGAGTACCCACCCCGGCGATCGCGTGTCTGGGATCCTGGTGGTAACGGGACGCGGATCACCCTAGGGAGCCTCTTGGTGTCCGCACATGAAACTACCACCGTCTGATGCAGGCCCTCGTCTGACCAGGCTTCGTGGCGCTCGCCGCATGAATATTGTCGCACAGAAACGACCATCGGATGGCAGGCTGGACATTTGCTCACAGCTGACTTGCTGTTCGCAGGTTCACTGCCCCCCAGTGCCTCCCCAGCTGGGCCGTTTGTGGATGATGGGGAAGAAGAGAAATCCACATCTCACCCTCTTGGTCCCGCCCTCCTGTTCGCTGGTGTCATGTCATATAGCCCAAGGATTGACTGCTATTCTTGGACGCTCTCTTTTTCAAAGTCGCATTGTCGATGGCCTGCCGGTAGTAGATATGTCATGCGGCTCCCCGCTGCCATATGTACAAACGGTTCTTGGTCCTTCTTGTCAGGCCTTCCTACAACCAGAGCCCCCCTTTCGTGTTTGCTTCGTGCCGCCCTTCGCTTCTTGGACCGCAACTTTTTCTTCGATTCTTCGGATTGAGTCCCTTCTTTTTCTTGTTTTTTACAACCACCAGATCATTCTCACTTTCGCTTCTTTTTCATTCGCTTAGGTATCGAATATGTTGTCGAAGACACTTACACTTTTGGGGTTGACGGCGGCAGTATGCGCTAGGGTGCAGTTCTTGGCAAGTCTCATATGATCTACGACAGAACTTCAGACCGATGTGTCTAACCTTTTTTTTGCCTAACAGGGAGTAGCGATCTCAGGCGGCGACTTTGGTTGCGAGATTGATGTAGGTCCCGCCCCCTCTAACAATGTCTGCATCTCATCGAGGACTACAAGACTGACCTCATGCCAGGGAAGCTGTCCACTGGGTAAAGTCCAGCTGCCCCTCAGCTCACTGGGGGGCGGCGATGGCGAAGGGCAGATGAACCACTTTGCCCAGAACGACAAGCTCAACATGTTCCGCCTGCGTCAGTTGAAACCATAATCTCTCTTACCCATCGAGAGTCGTAGTACTGACAGCCAAACAACAGCCGTCGGATGGCAGTTCCTCGTCAATAACCAAGCAGGCGGTCAACTCAGCGCCGCCAACTTTGGCAAATACGACCAAGTAATGCAAAAGTGCCTCGCGACCGGCGCGCACTGCATGCTCGACATACACAATTTCGCCCGCTGGAACGGCGGCATCATCGGCCAAGGCGGCCCGACAGACGACCAGTTCGTCTCCCTATGGACGCAGCTCGCGACAAGGTACAAGGACAACGCCAACGTCGTCTTTGAGCTCATGAACGAGCCGCACGACCTCGACGTCAAGCTCTGGGCGGCGACGTGCCAGAAAGTAGTGACGGCGATCCGCGGGGCTGGCGCGACGTCGCATATGATTCTGCTGCCGGGGACGAACTTCAACTCGGCCGAGTTCCTCGTGAGCAGTGGCAGCGCGGAGGCGTTGAGCGCGATTACGAACCCCGATGGGACGACGGACAATTTGATTCTTGATGTGCACAAGTATCTTGATGAGGATAACAGCGGCACGCATAAGCCCTGCACGACGGACAATATCGAGAGTTTCAGGATAGTCGCTGAGTTCTTGAGGACGAAGGGGCGTAAGGGACTGGTCAGCGAGACGGGCGCCTCGAGCGATGCTACAGTAAGCCAACAATCTTCTTCTCCTCATTTTTGTTGAGAGAACGGCACAGACTAACAGATGAAAAAAACAGTGCTTCACAAGCTTCTGCGCCCAGAATACCTTCATCAACCAAAACTCAGACGTCTTCATCGGCCTCGTAGGCTGGGCGGCCGGCAGCTTCAGCACCGACTACGTCCTCAGCCTGACGCCCAAGAAGTCGGGCAACACCTACACCGACAACAACCTCATGAAGCAGTGCGTCCTCGACACGTGGGCCAACACGGAGCAGAACGTCTCGACGCCCGCGACGCCTCTGGCTTCATCATCGGCGTTCGCAGCATCGCAGCCCGCCGCGTCCTCGGTGCCGACGAAGCTCCCGGCTACCACCCCGTCCGCGTCGGCGGCTGTACCTACAGCTCCTAACTCGGCTCCGACTGCGGCACCGCAACCTAGCAGCAGCGGTGATGAGGAGGGTATCGCACCCCCGACGACAATTGTGAGCATGCCGAGTACGCTGTTGGTGGACCCTTCTACGCCGACACCCCCCGCTGCAACGGGAGCGAGAGGTGGTAGGAATGGGACGACTACGACGACGAGCTCGCCGTCTCTTCCGACGGCGGCGGGGTCAAGGTTGAAAGGCCTCGATAGCCTCTTAGGATTCGGTCTGGCAGTGGCCTTCTTCATGTAGAATGGGTCATTGATGTTGCAAAGGTTAGCAAGTAGAGAGAAAAAAACATTCATCTAACTGCCATCAAGGGCCAAAAGAAAAGTGACAAAAGGGAGATTCGAACTGGCAGAATGGCAGAACGGCAGAACATCTGGCAGTCGTCTCCTTCCTGTAAAATCCAAATCATTGGCATCACGGGGCTTAGCAAATAGAAAAAAAAGAAGATCACTAATTTCACAAAAGAAAAAGACGACTCGGGCTGGCAAAATGGCAAATTATGTCTGCCTTGGCCAGACGCTGGGGGCCGAGGTCTTAGATTGATTTCAGCTTGCGATCTGTGGTCATGAGGTCACACTCTTAACCACTTGGCCAAGAGTGACGTTTCGCAACCACCCCGACAGACCTTCCAACTTGTTGGGCTATAGGGGATGTGGAGTGTGGATGGTCTTTGTGCAACCGTAATGGCTTCCTCTCTGCTCAGTGGCGCTCGCCATGGGCATACTTTACAAACCTGATGTACCTTGATATCCTACCCGAAGCCCACTAACCGTCTCTTTCCCTCATCTTCTTTGCTTACACTCTGCCTTCTCTTTCTTTCTGTAACCATCATGTCGTGTACCACAACGTAACCGCGAATCAAGTCTATCCCCTACCATCTCGAAGAGGGAGCTTCCGTCATGGTGAAACAAATGATTGCTAGGAATGACATTCCCCTAGAGTAAGGATTACCACTAAATCCCCCAGACCTTCAATACTCTATAACTGACTCTGGGGGCTTGGAAGTGGAGATAGAAGTCTTGCTTGTGGTTTACATGTGAGCCTCATCGTCTTGCCCGTCACCGACATGATTGACAGATACCCTTAGTCTTGGGAGCGAGCCATTGAAGAGGCCGCGGTGGCTGTATTACCCCCTAGTGTGTAATGATCTGTTCATGTTCCTGACAAACATTCTTTCAGACAGCTCCTTGAAGTAGAAGAGGGCTAAGTAAGGTAGTGAAATACACACATACCTGCTTCATCATTGGAAAGCAACTTTGACTAGTCTAGCAGCCGAGAAACAAGAGACCAAACGGAGCCCACAGGTCTAAACTCCTGAGCTCTTACTTCCACTACCTTATGATCTTTACCTTAGGGGGAGCTGGCACCACGTGGTCGAGTTCTATAGAATCCCATGGCAAAGTCCCAAGTCACGATGCATTAAGTGGGGATCTCAGAAACGCGCTGTCCCATCGCTTCTTCCCAAACTCATTCTCGACGAGATGTACCTGCCTCAACCCCGACAAGACCCTCTGAATTTCCACCACCCTAATACGCACACGAATACACGAGAAGAGAAGCCCTCATATACCTCTCCAAGTCAATTCCTGTCTCCAGCACAGCAGGCGCCCCCTAGGCCGGGGGGTCAGGTCAAACTGTGGCGTGGATAGTGGAACGGTTAATGGTCGACAATCAATTATTCACACCAACGAGCCTACTCGACGACATGCTTAGCGAGTACCCGAGTTCTAATCCCAGCATGAGCACCAGAGATGTAGCCCCCAGTTCAGCACCGGGGGGGCGAACTCTTTTGTCACTATGGATCTCTTGACTTTTGCTTACCTAGCTAGTCGTCGTTACATCACTATAGGAACTTGGTGAGAGTGAGGTACGAGAACGTCAAAGGACACGTTCGTCCAAGTCTGTTGAGAGTGGTGTGTGTTTATCTATTCATCCCCATCCCCGTCCTGCCTCATGGCATCATACTCCACATAGCGACTGATAGCAGGCAAGAAAGCCTGCGCCTGGCGGAACTCGCCCAACTTCACCCTCATCTGATCAAACGCCATCAACACAGCCTGATCAGCACCATCATCCGTCTTGCGATCCTCGACAAGCGGCAGCTTGGCGTACCGCTGCGAAAAGTGCGTGAGCAGCACGCGGCGCGCGCCCATGTTGCTCGCCACATTCAGGGCCTCGCCCAGCGTGCTGTGCTTCTTGGCAATCGCGTCGCCCTTCTTGTCATTGTCGAAAGTGCTCTCGTGAATCAGCAGCGTGGCGCCCTTGCCGGCCTTAACGAAGTGATTGCTGGGGCGGCAGTCGCCAGAGTAAGCGATCTTGAGGCCCGAGGGCCAGGTCAACACGCCGGCGTAGGCGTCCTTGCAGTGGTTTACGGGGACGAGCTGGGCGGAGGCGAGGCGTGTTGGGCAGCCGGCGGGGAGGTGACCTTCGTCGTGGGGGTAGAAGTGGCCCTTTCTGATGATCTTGATGCGTCCGAAGGCGATGGGCTCGATGCGGCTGTACTCCATCAGGAAGTACTGCATAGCGCCAGGGCCGATGAGACCGAGGTGGGGCTGGGGAGAGAGGTTGATGGTGGCTTCGTTCCAGGCGCGCAGGAATCGTGCGGTTCCGAGGTGGTGGTCGGCGTGCATGTGGCTGATGAAGATGCAGCGGGTCTCCTGGAGGATTTTGTTTGTTTCTTTGGCCCCGAATGTTCGTTGAAGCTGGCCGAGGGTGTTTTCGCCGCAGTCAAAGAGGTAGTTGCCGTACTGCGGTATCCGGACCAGAGTCGCCGAGACGTTGCGGTACTTTGATGGTACAGCAGATCCAGTGCCGAGAGGGATGATTTCTGTGTCGCGATTAGGGATATCGTGCTCAATCTCCTCAATCTCCTTGAGGAACGCAGGCTCCTTGATCTTGTCCGCGGCTTCCTTGGCAAGCTTTATAACACCCTGGTCCATACTGTGGCCCTTGAATTTGAAGATCGGGGGCACGATCTCATCCTCGACGAGCTCGTAAACAGGTGACAGCTTCGCCTTCATGCCGACGCGAGCAGTCTCCACGTTGGGGCCGATATACGAAAGGTCCCGGACCTTGTTGTTGTAGGCAAGTTCCGGGAAGCGATCAGGGTCGATCTGTCTCAAGTAGCCGTGGAGGATGGCGTACGATTCCAACGCCAGCATGTTAGGACTAGTGTCGGTAGACATGACGAGATGCTTGACGTCCGGTCGTTCCTTCATGAACTTTTGGATTCTCGGATCGTCGATGACGGTCGGCCCAAGAATCCAGTTGAAGACTCGTACGCCATCCATCAAGTTGGCGTTTTGCCATTCTGATCTACCGAGGAACGAGTCGATGTAGGATGCGTCTGCGATATCGATGACTGTAAAGCCCTGAGGCTTGATCGGCGCCTCGAGGACCATCTCGGGAGTCACTGTAATGCCATCCTTGCCCTCGACAGATACGCCGTCGGTGAGTTTTTTGTTGTCAGTGGGCTTTACACCCAGCTCCCTTGCGGCAGCCGCGTTGAACTTGCCTCTTCGACCCTTGTTCTTGACGATATAGGTCACGGCATTGTTCGAGATGGAGGCGGCGGGCAATTTGTCAACCGTGGCCGCCGGCCAAGGGTAGCGTACAAGTACGTCAAGGTCGGGCACTGGTTCGTCGCCGCCTGGCATGGGGCCTTCGTACTTCTTGATGTTGCCGTCCTCTCTAACAAAGATGGTGGCGGGGAGGTTGACCTGGGAAAGCTTCGTCTCGTACAACTTGTCCATGGTCCAGCTGGAGTTGAACATGCTCTCGACGATACCCTGGATCGCTTCCCGATCAATGAGAGCCTGCTCCTCTGCGGAAACAGCGCCAGCCGGGTTCGATAGGCCTTCATCTTCCGCCGTCATGACCTCGTGGCTTCTCTTACGGGACTTGTTGACATGATCGGAAGCGATGGGAACCTTCCAGACTTGAATGAGCTCGTCCTGCCAGTCAGGAATGGTGGCGTCGGGGTCGGCGATTCTCGGATCCTCATACAGCTCAACGGCGCGAATCGGAAGTCCCTTCCTGAACACGAACCCTCTCGCTGTTGCGACGGAGTATGCGAGGTTCTGGGCACCGTGGATCTCAATTCGGTCGGGACCCTTGGGCGCGATCAATTTCTTTCCCGTGCCCTTTCTCGCCTGGTTCCTCTCGTGCACCTCTCTCCTGCTACCGTCGAGAACATCCGCAACCGTAAGCATCATGCCAATCATACCGCCAGTGTTCTGCTGAATGGTCGCGCCCGATATGAACATGACCTCCAACTTGCCCAAACTCACTTTACGTTGGCTCAACGCTCGCTGTGTTCCCTCCGCAATGTTGCCAAAGAGGTAGCGGCGCTGGTCAAAGTGCAGCATCAGGGCCGAGCCCGTATCCGCCGTCGGCGTCGCCGCGATCTGGACGTAGTTCGTCATGGCGGCACGGACTGCAACCTCTCCTGGCTTTGTATCCTCTGTCTCTTTCGTCTCTGGCCCCTGAATCAAGTCGGCGCAGTAGATCCAAGAGTCTTTAATTTCCGCCGAGACCTTGTTCCAATTAGCCGGTAGGCAGAATACCCGTTTGTTGGGGAACGATTCTGGATCACCACGGACGACGCTTCTCCTGGCGACACCACCGGGATGTTTGTGCCCTACGATTGAGGCCAAGAAATCTGCCGTGGGCAGTGGACGTGTGCCGCGTTTGTTTGTACACAGAGCGTATTTTTGCTGAAAGGGCTCGCTATCTCTGCGACGTTCTCTGCTGAAGGGCTCTTCGTCTCGGCGGGAGGACTGGTCTCTGCGGAAAGGCTTCTCGTCGCGGCGAAAGGGCTCGTCTCTATGGAAGCGTTCTCTATTCCTGCGAAAGGGTTCGTCTCTGTTGTCTCTGCGGAAAGGCTCGTCTCTGCCGAAGCGTTCTGTGCTTCTTCGAAATGGCTCGTCTCTGCGAAATGGTTCTACGTCTCTTCCAAAGGACTCGGCCTCTCTGGGAAAATAGTCGGTCTCTCGTCGAGCAAATGCGGCGGACGGTGTCTTGGAACGATTCGAGGTGGCGAGCGGGGCGTCCCTGTTCAGTAATCGACGCTTGGCTTCGTGTTTATTATTGATGAAACCAGTCTTTGCCTGCCGCGAATCGACAATCTTCGACTTGAACTTGGACTCAAACTTGTCCTCGAACTTTGACTCAAAGGCGTCGGCAGAGGGATCTGAAGTCTTCTTGTTGGATCTGCTGTGGTAGGACAGTCGAGTGGAGACGAGGAATGGAGATGGCAAAGCTCTGGCTGATCCTTTCCGGGGGAACAGCGAGGTGTATGGGAAACGATTATTCAATGTTTGCGCCACATGCCTTTGGGTATACGGGCGGTACATGAAGTTGAAGGAGTGTGGGGAGCGCAGAAAAGGCTCACAAAAGGGAAACGGGCGACCAAAAAAATTAACTGGTGGATATCAACACATCGGAGAAGGGCAACGTGCAGCTACGAAAAAAAAAAAAGAGACAGACTTGACTGGCTGGAACTGGTGACTGTTGCGGCGACGGGGAGTGACTGCAGTCGGCCAAAAAACCTTTCCACAGAAAGGACCCTTTGCCGATAAGAGCTTATCAGATACACGTGATTCTTCGACGAAATCTCCGATATGATTACATAATGCGACAGAGCATGAAGTGTGTGCCCTTAGGCAACATGGATATCGTGAATCCCATTCCCATTTTCCCATCTATTCTAAGCCCCGAACCGTTGATCCCATCAACAAGGTAGTTCCAACTCCATGAGATAGTGCCAGTCAAGATCTGGTCTCGGTGGCTGGATATTCAATTTTTCCCCCAAATGTTGCCTTCTTTGACCAAATGATCCCCCTAGAACGCCTAATTCCCTTCGTCCCTGAGCTGCAAATTTTCATCCACCAAATACCGCATTCTTATCCAGTCATCGTTCCAATCAACCACTTTTCAATCTCTAGTCACAGGCCGTAAGGATGAGTACTTCTGATACTGCTGGTTGCGCCCCAGAACAACAGCCACAACCTCCTTCGCAGACTTATACCGGAACCCCGCCGCCGCCGCCGCCGCCGCACCACCGTCATTCCCCCGCGGACGTACTGCCTGGATCGTCGACATGGTAACAACCTGCGCCGCCGTCCGGGGCAGTCATAATGCTTGTGTAGCTTGCCATCCAAGACCTGAAGCACCGCTGCGCTTCGCCGTGTGGGTCTGTTGTGTCGTCGTTCGGCCGCTGCTGGCGGGGCCTAGAGGTTGCTGCATGTACCCCAGCTCAGCTTGCTCTGCCGCGGTGGTGGAGAGTGTGGTGCTGCTCCGTTGCGGGAACTGGCTTCGGACTGAAGCGGCGCCGGGGAGTGTTGCGACGCCTCCGAGGAGGAGAAGGGCTGATGACGAGGAGCGGATTGCGCTCATGATGTGATGAATTGAGTTTTGACGGCTAAGATTGTTTAAGGTGCCTTTTCCTCTTGATGGTGTGGACTCTGAAGAACCTCTTCTCTCGACTTTTTGTTGCGAAGGTTGATTGAGGGCGGTCCCATCGAGATATATATATCTCACTCTGACCCAGACTACATCTGCACGCACGCTCGGCTTGTTGAGGTCGCACATACCTGCTCCCACGCAGATCAGAGTACCAACCTATGCGTAAGAGAGAGCAGCGTGCCATTCCTGCACAGGCGTGGCCAAACACCCGGAGGCATTCCATCGACCGCCGCAGTGCGTCCTTGCATGCGAAACAAAGCCAATGCCCGCTGCGGAGGAGGGCCGCCATGCCACGCGCCGTGTCGGTGGGAATGGCGGGGGAAAGCAACTTGCATTGCTTACACACCAGGGACACGGTGAGTGGGTGAGTACCTAAATGAGAGGATAGCCGAATACCTGAGCATCAAAGGAGGCTTTCCGTCCCCCCACGGAGCTTCTCTTGATGGTTGATCAGCATAACCAACACCGTTCAGCAAGGAATCTTTTTGTCTCTACTTCCTCGCCTCTCAACGCAAATCTCAACTGAGAAGTATCCGTATGGGTTTGCCATCGAGTCCATGTCTTAAGGAGAATGTCTTGCACACCGTCGCTTGGCATCTCCCGTGCTCCCTACCCCCGCGCTCAGCCGTTGAGACACTTTCATCTCAGAGCAGATGCGCATGCGCGCTACAGCCAGCCCTCAACAACAAAAAGCCCAGTACCTGTGCGCCCAAGAGATAAGAGACAGAACCAAATAGTGTTGCTCAGTGGTTAGGGCTCAGAGTTCCAAACTCGAAATTAGGTGCTTTGAAATTCTTCAAAGGTCGATCAACCATCGCGAATCACTCCATGGACATGGAAAGAGACTGTAATGTTTTGCATTCTCTGGAGTCGGGACATCGGACCATGTCTGGCTCGTCTACGCACAGGTACCACGTACTTATACCCAGAATGGTTATATCTCCTCTACGAAAGTGCGACTGAAGGTTCCGTGTTGAATACCAGTATACCTTATTTGCACATGAGGAGAGTGTGCCTGACAGCTGACAAAGAAGCTTATCTCGATAAGCATATCTTATCAGCACCCCGGAGCTCGTACCTCAAATGAAGCATGGACTTCCTCCACACGGTTCAAGGCAAGCCAAGTCTTTGTCACTTTTGCTCTCCACATGCAAACACCCGTTCACGTCCCAAGACCCTTCCGAGTTCCGAATTCCATCCCCCGAGTCTCCTCCGTGCTCCAAATCCCAGCACGCGGAACGATAATTGCCAATTTGTAATTCGTCAATGACCACAAATCCGATTCACTGGCGTTCTTGAGAAAAGAGCCGGGAAGCGACGTTAAATGGTTTCCAAATATCATCAACCAGTCAAAAATCTTTCCCGGGTAATGCATCTAGCGACGACCCCAACTTCAGGAGTATTGGGGGGTCCAACTACAAGTCAATTGCATCATCAGGACAAGGAGCACCCCCCGATCCCTGCGCGTTACCCCTCCTCCCCTCCAACTGCTGCCCCTCCAAAAGTTGTGAATTTGTATGGAATTGTCAGCGTGAATTGGGCGACACCTCCACGTCACCCCACCCCGTCCCCCTCGGCATCTACTCCACCATCCGAGAAGGGGTCCGGCTCAAGGTGTGCCTTACGGCAAGGTCAGGTAAGCTAGCAAAGCAAGCATCCGTAAGCAACATGCCGCAAGTTTGAGCGAGTAAGGTAGACAGGCCAAAGAAAGGGGAGACAAACTCAAAGCTCTCACGTCCATCTCCCCCGTCAAAAGACAAGTCAAAGTGGATTCCCGCATCCCGCAATCGCATATTTGGCTGCCCCCCCTCCTCCACTCCCGTTCCGTGATCCCGACGATATAAAGACTCGCGCAACCCGCAACCTCACTCCCACCATGCCATCCCGCACCGCCGTCCTCCGTCTCGCACCCACGATCCCCTTCTGCAACCCCACACCAACCATCAGCAGCATCACGACAAAAACACCCTCCAGGACCCTCACAATGACGTCCCAAAACAACTCCAAATTCGCCGGCGGCACCCAAGCAACCCATAACCCCCACCCAGACTTCAAATCCGTAGAATCCACCCGGCCCCCCTTCAACACCGACGCCCAAATCACCTTCACCAAAACAATCTCCCCCTCCTGGACCTTCGGCTCCGGCGCAAACCCCCTAGGCCAACCAGGCCTCTCAACACCACACGTAGCAATCGACCCCCACGCCGAAGGCCGCCCAGCAGGCTTCAACTACAAACTCCTCATCTCGGCAATCACCCCGCGCCCCATCGCCTTCCTCTCCACCCGCTCCCCAGACGGCACGGTAACAAACCTCGCGCCCTTTAGCTACTTCAACATGGTGAACCACGACCCGCCAATGTTTGTAGTCGGCTTTGCCGCCTCCATCGAGAAGCCGAAAGATTCGCTAAAGTGCTTGTTGGAGAGTAAAGAGTGCGTCATCAACATCATCTCCGAGGGCTTCCTCGAGGCCGCAAACTCCACCTCCGTCAACGCGCCCTATGGGAAATCAGAATGGGACGTCAGCGGTTTGACGCCCGTGCACGACTGCAAGCACGTGAAAGCCGCGCGCGTCAAGGAGGCCGTCTTCAGCGTCGAGGGAAAGCTGGACTTTGTAAAGGAGTGGGATTCGCGCGCTACGCCGGGGAAGAAGAGCGGTGTTACTGCGTTTATTGAGGGTGTCAACTTTTGGGTGAGGGAGGATGCTATCAATGAGCAGAAGAACATTGTTGATCCTACTGTAAGTCTTTTCCACTTTCACCTGTGCGTCTTCTTGGTTATACGGAAAACATCAAATCTGACTTGATAACCTTAGGTACTTCGCCCTGTCAGCAGGTTAGGAGGCATCACCTACGGCCGCACCACCGAGGTTTTGGAGATCCCGAGAGCGGATTGGGATAGCAACATTGGTGGTGAGGAAGGCTACGAGAAGCTCAAGAAGAGCGAGCAATAGAGACTCATG